TCTGATGTATTCGTACTGGCTGGTGGAGAGAAGCAGGGATACTGGGATGTATTTCACCTAAGCTATGCTAGATGTCTTCTTCTTAAGAATGGGATGATGCATCCCCTAAAATTACTTATATCTTTTTGTGAGGGTGATTTAGATGTTTGCTGAAAATGTCTATATGTTCATGTGAATGCACCCGTAATTTCTTCACTGACCATGATTTCCCAGTTTATTTCAACCAGTGCACAGTTGTTGTCCCACTCCCAAGCCTGCAGTGCTGCTGCTGCCCTTGTGATGGCAGTGGCTTCTGCACAGCTGCAGAGTGCATAGGTTTAGGGGATGGATCCACCTGATAACTGGCTTATAAAGGCAAGGGAAGAAAAAAGGATGTTTTTAACCAAATCTGTCCCTTAATTCTGTATGCTGTCCATACCTGACACAGTGTTRAGAGAGCTGGGGAACCTTCAATCTGAGATGGGATGGAGAGCTAAACTGTGTCTTTTGACATTGCCTAYAGTTAAGTCAACTTAAAGCATTTGAGTGGCAGCCTAAGGATAGTGTTTTTAAAACTGTTAAGTCCTTGTTTTGAAGACTGAGCTAACATGTTATCTGCAGAGGATGGTTATAGATCCCATCTTGGAGTCTGGGGATATATTCAATAGAGCTTCCCACAGTCCATTTTTTGCAGTTCCTCCAGCGGGATGAATATTTGCCCTTGCACAGCTATAAATCTTTTGACCTGCATTAACTCCATGGTAGCTAAATCTCTTACATGAGCTGAGAATAGGCCTGATGAGAGGCTTCTGTCTTTTCTTGTCTTATATCCTGCACACCAGAATTGCAGCAGGAGGAAACCACATGAATTTAGCAGGATCCAAACAGTTGTGTTCGTAGGCTATATGTGGGAGACCAGAGCCAGCTGCAGATACACACTTGTTCCAAACACAGCATCCATAGGTATGTGAAGGGGAATCCCTCATGCYTGTACATGCATGTGGTGACAGGCCCTGGAAAAAGTGTAATTTCCACATGGCAGGAGAAATGCTTTGCTTGGCTCCACTCTGGCTGGAAGCCACGGGGAAGGGTTTGCATGGAAAGTGTATCCTGCCTTTTGAAATTAAGTTTGACCATGCAGCTTTGGGAAGGGCTTTAGCCATCTCAAGCCTCATGCTGTACCGATCCTATCAGAGATGGCAGGTTCCTGATTTTCTTCATCCTCTCCATCCTCTGCCTTCAAAGACTGGCTGCAAATCTTGCAGCTGGCCATGGAAAGAGGGGAAATTAAAGAACTGTGCAAATTCTCCTCCCTTTCCTCCTCTTGCCCTGATCCACACCAGGGTAAAAGGAAAGTGTGAGAGAGTGGGTGTCACCCAGAGTGTTTCTGAACTTCCTCCTTTACAAACAGGCTGTTTTGGWCTCCACTGAGATAGAAGGCGGTGCAGGCACCTAAAATGAAARTCAATTGAGGGATTTATTTGTATGCCCATTGCCCACCATGAGGCCCCTCAGATGCTGGAAGTTGGGGAGGGCAGGGAGAGACCTCAACCATCTCTGTTGGTTGCTCATGAGGAGCAAGTTTTCTTGAAGTCTGGAGGAAGGCCTTGAGGTGTGTCAAGTTAAGCTCATGTGCAGATCTCTGCCACCTGCATGAACAGCTCTCTGCATGACCAGGGCTTGCCTTTTTTGTTGGGAGGCGCCTTTCAGGAGGCAAAGTTCATACCCTTCAGCTGTAACCCTTGGTTCCACTCTTTCTTGGTGACACTGATCCTCAGGTTATGAATTCATTTTGCACGTGCAATTTTGTCTCCAAAGGGAGGTGCAGAGAGAGCTGAAGATATTCCTTCTGACCTCTAGAAAATGACAATAAATAAAAACAGGATCTCAGGTTCTCAAGAATTTCYGCTTTTGTCTAAGTGGGCCTGGTTTCAGCAGTCATGCATCATGCATGCATCACTTCCATTCGACAAAACCCAGCAACCAAAAAACATCCCACTACAGGCAGCTGTCTCAAATACAGTTCCTTGGCTGACTTCGAGCCAGAAYTCTTTTCTGCCTCTCTCCTTAACCACAATTGATTAAGGAAATTATGGAGCTTATTGCTTCCTAATATCATCCGGAAAGGATTTCCATATGTTGCATTACTCTCTGGAGTGGGAAAAGCTCCCTTGTGCCAGAAAAGCAGGGTGCAGTATTGCTCAGCCCTGATTAAGCCRTGCTGGGAGGTTTATTGGAGGAGAACTTGCAGATGTTTCTGTATAGAAAGATGCACTTCATCTGTAATTTTCATATACCTTACAGTATCCTTTCCACTGGGAAATTAAGCAGACGCTCTCCATATCCACTGCAGCTGCTTCTAGTGTTAAATTAAACTGCTGCTATTACAGTGAGCCATTCCTGGAGCTGAGCTGTGTTGTTCCTTAATTGTTTATGGCTGTGGATTTGAGCCAAGTGGCAGTCCTGTAGTGGCAAATGCTGAAGATATGTCCTGGAAAACAGATGTTTGGGCCAAAGCCAAAGTGGTTTCAGGAAAGACAGTGAGAGAGAAGCAGGAAACCTGTTATYGTCTGATTTATTGGACAGGGTGAGGAAATTCACCCCAGAGCAGAGTGCTCCCACAAGGTTGGTGYAACACTAAGCTCTGATTTTAGGCATTCTTTGCAAGGCTAATGTGGGCAGCTGCTGGTGTGCTAGTGCAAGCACTGGGTCTACCAAACTTATGCACTTTGGAGATGGCCAGAAGATGCCTTTCCATTTGCTGTTCTTTACCAAACTACTTGCGTGATAGACTGGCTTATGTGAAGGTCCCAACATACTTTCTTCCACGGTGGCAGTCCAGTATTTTAGACCTGATTTAATGTGATAGATTTTGATTGGTTTGGATTCTTTCTTTTTTCCTTTTCCTTTTCCTTTTCCTTTTCCTTTTCCTTTTCCTTGTTCCTGTTCTTGTTCTTTTTTCCTTTTCCTTTGGCTTTTTCCTTTGCCTTTTTCCTTTGCCTTTTTCCTTTGCCTTTTTCTATGTCTTTGCCTCTTTCTTTGCATTTTCTTTGCATTTTCTTTTGCCTTTTTTTTTTTTTTTTTACTGTAGTGGATTTGGGGATTCTGATCAAAAACCATGTCACTACAGTGGAGAGGCCCCATGTGAACAAGTCATCCCCATTCATCCCCTTTGCCATCAAAGCAGAGAAGGGAGCGCTGCCAAAGATTTCATCACATGCTAGCGGGGTCTAAGACAGGTCCTTCTCTTGCCCTGGTAGTGCCAGTTCCTCTCTGCTTTCTCCAGCATGGGTCCAGGTAACTGCCTCATACGGAGACACTGACACTGTAGACATGTAGGATTAGGTGAGGTCTGTCCTGTGCAGGGTTTCATGAGATATGAGTAACAGACAAAATGAAGTAAGACACCAGAAGAATGAGTTTTGTTTTTCTTAGTCTTAAATACAATTCTTTAGGGAATTGCTCAGCAGATGTGAATGTGGACCTTTAGCATATCCAATGATCATATTTTCTCCATGACATGCATGTTTAGCAGGATAGGCTAGTTTCGCAATTTTTGTACAACACTGACTTCATAGAAATCAAGAAATGATGAACTTCAGGCTCAAAGTTTAATCTTCATTCTGGTTATTTAGCACTTAAGAATCTATTGCTACATATGGAACATTTTAATCCCAGGAAATCCTCAAAACTTTTGGCTTCCTTTGTGTCCTTAGATGCCCAGCATGATCATTAATAATTTTGACCATCACCTTTTTTTTTTTCCAGTATGGTGGTCCTGTTCCTAGAAGATTAGGTCCTGGAAACGAAGGCTGTGGGAATGGAGGACTTGGAAGAGATTATATAATCTTCTCTTGCCCGTCAGTCACTAGAAATACTAGTGAAGTATAGCTGTAGGCAGAGAGAAAACAACTTCCTTTGCATGAAAGGTGTGAGTAGAAGACTGCAGATGCTCTGAGTGATGACCTTAGTTCTTGTTAACTTCCCACCTGATGATGCTTTGCACAGACAGAACATGMAACTGCTTGGATTTCCCTTTGATCTGTTTTTTTCTTTCTACTTTCAGAGCAAACAGGCTTCTTACTTTGTGAAACAAAGAAAGTGTCCTAATAGCTAAGTCAAACAAAGGGGAATAAATTATTAGTTCCTTTTAAAGAGATTTTCTTACCTAATTTGATTGGATTTCTCAGCCTCTTAGCCATTTTAGGTCATGGACCAATTGGAAACTGTTTGTTGTTCTGATGTGCTAGGCCACTAATACCTCTATTTCCAGAGCTACCTGTGCTAGAATATGTAAGTGCAAATAGCTTTTTACAGCAAGTTCATCAGAGGCTTGGTCAATGTACCTAGAATACCCTTTGGGGAGTTGCCAGTCTTATCCTGAGGAGCACGACTGTGCTAATCATCTCCTGCATGCTACTGCAGAGGGTGTTTTGCCTTTCTCACTGCTTTCTGTAAAACTGAACAAATGCTGGTACTTAGGAAAATGTGATTTCCCAATTGAGGACAACACTGTACCTGGAGATCCTTGGCCAGTCTTCAGGAGAGTCTTGAAGCCACAAGTGGACCATAGCCTGTTCATTCATGGGAAGATACATGGTTCACAGCATTTCCTCCCTTCCTCTGCTTTGCTGTCGCCTGAGGAACCCAATAGCTTTCCTCTCTTTTCAAGCACAGCATCCAAGAGGGTTTATGAGTTCCTGATGCAGAGTCAGAATGGTTGCTTGGGGATGTGTCAGCTGCACAGGGAAGGAGCGTCTTTCTGTGCTGTCTATTGTGTAGATTGGCCTTATGCAGGGTAACATATTTAGGGGAACTTTCTGGGTAGTCCCCCTCCCACACACACACTGAAATCTCCAACAGAGATTAGCTGCCTGTCACTTTATTGGCCATGGGTTGCCCATTTGCAAAATGCCTCGCACTGTGAGTACTCAGCACTTATGAAAATTCAGGCCAAAATAGTTTGTTCGTGTTTCAATCCTGTACTAACTGTAGTTCTTTGTCTTTATTTTCTAAACCAGGAAGAAGGAGAACATCTCAACATAGCCAAGAGGCAGACAGAACGACAACTCATTGATACTTGGCCATGCACTACCAGAGAGTTGCCTTGAATTTTACGCTTGCCCTGGACTTTTGTACAGAGGGCTGATGGAAACGCATCACTCCACACTGCTGAGTAAGAGGAAAGACAAACCCTGGCAAAGGGCTGCTGTTTGGTTTCTCAAGTTTTCCTCTTTCCTTGATTCTCCTTTCTCTTGTTGCCCTGAACAGAGAGTTTGATTTTTAAAGTCAACCCATCCATAGGAGCAGTTATCTTGATTCTTTCAGCTGAGAAAAGTCTTCTGATGTTCTCCACAACTGTGATGAAAACAAAAGCCCCTCCAGTGAGAAACTGAACTTGTCTATCTGAAAAATACTATCTACAGGTAAGAAAATACTATTCCCAGGAGTGAATGAGGATCTTCTTACATGTGAGGCTAGAGAATATGCCTTTGCAATAGTGAATTTGAGTAAAAAAGGAGAGTTGCATCCTCCTACACATTTCATTCAACTTTTTATTGTTGTAGTGGAACAACATATTTGGTAGATAATGGCTAGTGATGAGACTTCTCATTTAACKTCAGTGGTCCAAGAGTTATGTATCTTCAGCTCAGTTTAAAGTGCCTCTTGCCCCCGCATTGGGTAAAAGGAATGCCAGGAATGACTATCTCAGATGACATCAAAAGTTGGGTGGTAAAACCCAGCCTTTGTGCCCAGATGGCACAGCGAAGGGCATCAGCTACAGCAGCTAGTAAGTGTTGGCTTTGCTAAATCTTCTCACTGGATGCTCTGAGAGAGCCTACAGAGAAGACCAACACAAAGCCTTTGGTGTGTTTCCTGGCATTGTGTTTTTATATATTTCTGGTTTCAGACATTTAAAATTGTTCTTGAGATCACTTTTCTTTTTGCCCCTCCCACCTCCGTATGGTCTGGATCATCTGAGCTGAAATTTCTCTTTATAGCTTCACTTATATGGGTCAGCACCCAGTGATCTGAATGCCTGRGATCATTTCCACATGGTGTATAAATAGTACCCAGTTATTTCACAGTCTCATGTTCAACTTGCAGGCTTCCAACAGGCTTGTCTTCCCGAAACCCTTTCTATTCTCATGGCATTTGGCTCCTTGAACGCGTGACTTTATATAAATTACAGCAGAAGCTGTCCCAGCCCAGCAAGTCCTGATTTGGCTTCACTGCTCTGTTGTAGTTTGACAACTGGTGTCGAGTCACTAATACTCAAAGCTATTGCGGGTCTTTCCAGCCTCACATTGAGTTCAGACACACGGTTAAGCTGACAGCTGAATTTAAACTGCCTTACCTACATTAAACCATGTTTGGTCAATCCATCAGACGGTGGAGGAAGTCTGAGACTTTCCAGCTGGATGGATAACTAACGTCTGGTTGACTCCTGTCCGGTGGAGATAAGAGGCTGGTTAAAACCGAGGGAATTTTTAGACTCTTTTCGGTTATCACTTGTCTTTTGTTTGACACAGGACTTGTCATGTCTCCCTTTCTTCGTATTGGTTTATCCAACTATGACAGTGGCCCTTACCTGCCATCCCAGGGGGAAGTGATTAACCCTTACTGTGCTGTGATGGTTAAAGAAGCAGTGGAATCAGGTAAGAGTTAAATATGCATGTAGCATGTTTTTTATCAGACATACATGTGTCTTACTCTGTCATTACTGRAGCAGGTGGGAAGTGTCTATATAAAGAGTTTGTGAATTATTCTTAATGTTGAAATGCAGCTCAATGTTGGATTCAACATGGCCTGCAAAGCAATCTGATTTTAAAATGACACTTAACAAAGTCTCTGTCTTTACTTTGAGGTTATCATCAGCTGAATTTCAGRTCCCAGTGTATGACACAGCAGGGTGAGCTGAACTGTATTCGGTTGCACTGTTATTTGAGCAGCGGCTGGTTCGCTAGCGAGACACCAGTCCTATAAAATCTGAATGTCATGGAAATTCCTGGGAAGGCTGTCTTTGTTTGTCACATTTTTTTGAGGGACTGTAAGGTCCAACAATTTCCACCATTAAAGAAATAGCTCTCAAACAGGCTGAATCTTTGTAGAGAGAACTGATTTCTCTGATTGCTGCACTGTGCTAAATATCCATGAGTGAAACATTATACTAAGCTAGATGTTTTTAAATCCAGGTATGTTTTTAAATCCAGATATACAGACTTTGGCACGCTTTGCCATATTGAACAGCATTGATGAGTCCATGTTGGAAAAGTATTTCTTATTTTTCTGATCATAGAATCATTGAATATTTAAGGTTGGAAGAGACCTTTAGAGATCATCTAGTCCAACCTCCCTGCACATGCAGGGTCACCTAGAGGATGTGTCACAGGGTGGCATCCAAGCAGGTTTTGAAGATCTCCAGAGAAGGAAACTCCACAACCTCTCTTGGCAGTCTCTTCCAGGGCTCTGTCACCCTCACTGTTAAGAAATTTTTCCGTAAGTTCCTGCAGAACTTTTGTTGCTTCAGTCTGTGRCTGTTTCCTCTAGTTCTATCAGTGGCCACCACTGAATGGAGTCTGATCCCATCCTCCTCACTCGCTCCCTTGAGGTATTTATATACACTGATCAGATCATCTCTCAACCTTCTCCAGGCTGAACATGCCCAGCTCTCTCAGTCTTTCCTCATAGGACAGATGTTCCAGGCCCCYGATCATCTTCGTAGCCCTGCGCGTATAAAGTCTTGATGAGAGTTTAAACAGTTCTTCAGTTCTGCTGTTCAACGGTCATGAAGATCAAATCCTTCAAGGCTATAATATCCCTCATATGGGTTGTTACTTATGTTAAATCTTTGATAAATTATGAGCTTTATTGCTCATGTGATTCTTTTAAAACTTAAAACAACTCACAAATCCGTTTCTATGCCTTTAGAAATTGCTAGACTACAGCCTCCAGAGGATGTTAAAAGTAGTTGAAAAACAATTTAGAATTGTGAAGTGATTTAGTGATTCATTGTTAAAAAAAGAAGAAGTCACCATTTATCACACTAAAATGTTGCCTTTGCTTATATTGTTCTTTAAATCATTTTGGAAGATGTAGTGATTGATAAATTCAGGAGGAAAAAAAGAACTGCTCCATGACACGATCTCACTTCTTACTGAAAATATGTCCTATTTCGGTTSTGTGCAGAACTTGGCTGTTTGTTTTAATGAGACCTTTGAAAGAGCCATAACTCAAGCTGAAGTCTCTGTCAGTTCAAAAGTGAATAAAATCAATCTGGGCAGAACAGACCTTATTTATCTTACATGGAGCTGGAAACATTTTCTGGCATCGAAAAAAGCAAAAATGTGCTAACAAAGTCATATAATTTTTGTTCTGCTAAGAGCCTTTTCTAATAAAAGAATTTTCAATGTGAAATGGAAAGAATATGTTTGGAGGAACTCTTCCATCAGTGAGGATTAAATACAGGGAAGATGATGGCTCTCTATTAAAAGAATTCCTCTGTTGACGTGGGGTTGTTGTGCTCTGARCACTCTGGGGTAGTCAGGGAGATTCCTCTCTCAGCCTGATCTTTGGTCCTCATCATGTCAGTGGATAATGACAGGAACCAGCTGAGACTAATTCATCCCACTGGTCTCTGACCTTTCTTTTAAGGTAAGATGAATCACCTTTGGGGCATATTGGTCTTTATCTGCTGCTGGTGGAAGGTGCATAGATGCCTGGATGCTTAGCCCCAYCTAGTTTAGGTGACTAAACTAAGATATAGCGACAATATGATTTATGTCCTCTAATTTTGATCTTATGCAAGAATATCAGTGCCTGAGAAGTTTGGCTACTCTTACTTTGTACACCAAAGGAACCTATCTCTGGGCCTTCCTTATCATGGAAGTCTTTCCATGATAAGATTCATCTCATCTTAAGGAGAACATCTAGAGAAGTTTTGAGGAATCACACCCTAGAAATGCCTGCAGTTTTCCACTGACTCCTCAGAGCTGTGTCATGCCTAGACAAGTTAGTGTTGCAGAGCCTTATGAATTTAGTGGGCCTTTAGAGGAAAGATTAGTGAGAAAAAGCAATGAAGAAGAAATATGGGAAGGATAAAAAGAACTAGAGAGGAGGAGAAAGAACAACGCTAATAGAGCAAGAATAGTAAATGGAGTGATAAGAATGATAAGAGACAGCATCTAAGATGAAGCATGAAGCTGCCAGTGTCTTTGAGCTCATACCTTTTGAGACTGGGAACAGAAAAAAAAGGACTTTCAGATTCTTACTCCTTTGCTCTGGCCTATTTCTAGCATTTGATCTTCTGTTCATTATTTACTCTTCAGTTCCCAGGTTTCATGCAACAGTTTAATCATCTGCAAGAGTGGTAGAAGATGCAAGCAATCCTGACTGCCAGCCCTGTGCTCCAATCTGGTGCTATTAGGATTTTTTAAAGGCAAACAATTGATATGTAACAGTGACCAGAGACTGCAAGACAGGATGAACCTAATCCTGACCTCAAACCATGAGAGATCCAATCCCAAATCCCTACAGCTGATCTTTAATCCTATTCTTCRTGCCAGAATCATCTTGGTAGATGCCTCTTCTCCAGATTTTGAAAAGTTCTGGTGGGGATCAGATATACCAGACATTAGATACCAGATATATCAGATATTAGCAAAGATGAGGGGCTTTTGAGAGAGGATGAAAGGAGCAGTGATAGGTATTTAATATGTTTGCTTTGCAAATGAGGGAGATAAGTCTAACTTTGGATTCATGCCAAGGGCTGCCCCAGGTCAGCCATCTGTGATGAATAACTGGCCACTGGCATAGAGGATCCCAAGGTACTGAATATCACTTGTGAGCCCAAGGGAACCACAACAAGGTTGCCTTAATGTATTTCAGGAGCTGAGGAGAGACCTTGGGTGGTGTTTTGTTTTTTTTCCACCTGCTCACTTTGCAGAAGAGATCTTGGCATTTTATAATATAGGAAGGGAGGAGGGAAGGAAGRGAGGGAGGCAGAAAGGAAGGGTTAWAGAAATTTGTTACTGATGACAAACCATTCCAGAGATCACAGGCTCTTCTGAGGGATAAAAAATATATAACCTTTAAAAAATGCCTCTTTCTCCATGAGACACCTGTTCTTGTGCCATATTACCATGTGTCTTGGTGACATTTGCTTCATGAGAGATCCTCCTCCGTGTCTGAACTCAGTACACCTCCAGGAGAGGCACTCCAGCAACAGTGGAAGCTGCTCCTCAGGAAAGACAGACATTATTTTATCTTTCAGGAGCCCAGACTTAAATTAATCCTTGGCAGAACTCCAGAAACGTCAGAGTGGATACATCAGGAATGAGTGTCTGATCCCATATATTGGCCAGTTCATTCACATTCCAGGGCTTGTTTATTTAATCCATATGTTTTGGATTGTAATTCAAACCACAGCACTTGTTTTGCAAGTGGTGTGTCTCACATCTTTAGAGTGTTTCACTGATGAGCAAAGTTCTTCACTCATTTGTCTGCTTTTGTTGACAGAATGGGTTGAATATATTTTTACAAGCTTGAGCCTTGATCCAAGCCTTGAGCCTTGATTGCACAGTGAGCTCGGTATTGTGTTGCCTAAATCTGTGTATGTGAAAAGTTAAAGTGAAAGGGCTTGTGGTCACCCTTGCTTAACTGGAAATTAATTCTGTTGCTTCCAAAGCTTTGATGAAGTGGAATATGAACCTAGGATTTAGCTGCACAACCTTTGGTCAAACTGGGCAGAATGACATTTCCTGAGATTAATATTACACAATTAGGGATCACTGAGATTACTTTCTGTTCATTTTTTATTCTTTTTCTCCAATAACTTTTTTTCAACTTCATTGACTAATTTTAGTCCATCCTAGAAGAATGCTACAAACCTCAGAAAGCCTCAATTAGTTCCTGCCTGTTCTGTGTAAATCAAAGCTGAGCAGAGAAAAGGGACCAGAACTACTCCGACAGAGGGAAGGGTAGACACAGATTTTGTTCAGCARTGAGCAAATGTCGCATTTCAGGCTATCTGTTGCATGTGCTTTCCCAGACGGATGGGACAAGGGAAGGGCTGAGATTACTGGAAACAGAGTCTTTAGAGTCTTTAGGAAGCAGGATTCATAAGGTCTGATGTTCACCCAACTCATTTCCATTCTCTTATTTCACCAGCTTTGACACTTGATGGGTTGAAAAGTTACAGAGGGTAACTGTGAGATAGAATTTGCCTTAAGTAAGTGTCTAAGCGTTTTACAGGATATAAAGCTGACTGTATGAAATAAAACAAGCTGGCTGAGACTCTTCATTTGACAGRTCAAAATAAAGAAATGACTCTGTCAGCTATGGTAGGCCTCAAAAATACATTTCACTGTTTTAAGGTGTGCCTGCTATGAAGGAAGAGGAACAAATTCATGTAGTGAAGGTGCAGAAGAGGTTTACTAGGTCAACAGCTCAATGTGAATATGCTTGCAAGACTGGAAGTGACTTCACATATCAGTATCCCTGAGTTAGCCAAGATGTAGCAACTGGCTGGATATGCATKGCAGCTGAACCTAGTAACAGACTGCATCCAGCTTTATGGGGAATTGGAACAATCGGTTTTATTTTGTATTGCCATGGCTCAAACGATGCATGTGTCTAGTTATCCATGTTGGAATTCATCTGCTTTGATATAGTATCTGTGGTGTAGGTATCTACGTCTGAGATCTACTCAACAGAGTTATTGGAGCGAAGGGTGAAAATTATCTTACTTTATAGTGGATGTTTTCAGTTGGTGAAATGAGTTGCASCATTATGCGTTTGTTTTATGTTAACTAAAACTTCACTTGTTATAAAGGAAGCCAGCATTCATATAGATCTGGACATGTGCATTAGAGACAGCTATTGCTGGGTGAGATGAATATCATCTGCATCACTTAGTGCAGAAACTTCCTGAGATTCTTCAGCATTATGTGGCCCAGCTGAGATGTCCACCTAAGAATGGCTAAATAACCCAGACAATCATTCCAAACCACTTTTTGTTGACAGAAAATGGCCAAGTGTACGTGCAGAAGAAGCCCACCATGTACCCGCCCTGGAACAGCACTTTTGATGCCCACATCAATAACGGCAGGGTCATGCACATTGTCGTCAAGGACAAAAGTGCTGAAATGGTTTCAGAGACGACGGTGGAACTCAAAGTGCTGGCAGAGAAGTGCAAAAAGAGCAATGGGAAGACGGAAATGTGGGTGAGTGTTTTTATCTCCAACTGCATCCTGTGACTGCTGTAGGTAAGGGAATGCCCATCCTTGTGCTCGTCTCTGAATGTAAAGAATGTGGCAGCAGGAATGGGCTGACATTAAGTTATTAATAGTTTGAGTTTACTTGAGCATGACATGAAAGAAAGATGTCCATGAGTATCAGAAAAGAACAGCATAGAAGATTTATATTACCTGCTGCTGTTATATTGAAACATATATCCTCTATTAGCAAGGATTCTGGTTCGTGTGAGCCATGCCCATATATTAATCTTTGCTTAGGAGACCCACTGGGGCAAAATGGTAATATGAGTGGTTAAATGTGAATTATTTTATGTGATTCTGGGGAAACAGCTTTACAGATCTAATCTTTCTAATATCAGGTAACTGATTCACAGCTGCCTGGCTTTAGAGTTATGCCAGAGGAACTCCTTTAAAATCACTAGAGTTACTCTGGAGTAAATTTGAACTAACACAGTCCTCATAAGGATACTAAATGTTAAGCTGTATTCTCTGTCAGGAAAGCAGTTGGTAATAGGCTTTAACATGTAGTCTTCAGTAGCTGTACCCTGAATAATAGAGTGGCATGACATTTGGAGAGAAAGTGATTTCCTGGAATTGTTTTTTGTTTTGTTTTGATTTTTTTGTCAGTTCTCAGGTTAAACTACTTGGATTAGGCAGAGAGTAGAAATGACAAAACGGCCCAGGACACTCATAGATCTTTGGGCAAGATTTGGTAAAGAAATTCACGTTTAATGCATAACTTGGAAGCAATTGAGATACCTAGGGCTTATTTTGAAAATCTGAAGGTTCTGCTCAGCATCAGCCCAACTCCAGAGACATCCACCTTGAAGCTGCTGGAGGCAGTGACCCAGAAAGGAGGGAAGGATACACGTGGGCTGTGGCCCTGCTTGCTTGCAGCAAGATAACAGATCTGAGATCAGATGGAGGTGGACAACCTTGAGTCTATCATGTCCCAGCTTGATAGCAATTCCATCTTATCCAAGATCTTATCTCCTTTCTCTCCTTCCTTTGTCTCTAAGAAGCCTTTTGTTCATGACTCTAAGTACTCCAGCCTAAACAGTTTAGTGGTGGCCTCCTGGTTCAGTCTATGGAAAAGAGCCAAGCTTTTGCCCAGTGCATCCTTAGAGCTTCAGGCTGCTTTCTCTTGAAACAGGTGGAGATGGGTCTTTAGCTTTTATATGATAATCCCTAGGGTAGTTAGGTTCATTCAGGAGGTTCCCTGGATTGTCCTTCATATCAGACCTGACTTTGTTTTAAGCAATATACTTAAGTCAGTGCACTTTTGATTAGGCCTAGACTTCTTGGAGCCAGATTTACAAAGGCATCTATGCGCAAAGATTTGGCCAGATGCTAGTTCCCACATCCAATATGTAGGTCAAAAATGCCTGAGAAAATTTGTATCCTCACTCGCGAAAAAGTTAATGGCAGTTAGACTTGCAGAACCGAGTTCTGAAAGATTTCAGCCCTTCTTTAAGCACCTGTCTGAAGTTGGTGTGATTTTCAGAGTATTTCCCATGTTGTCTTCGTGGCATCCGCTGTGAACAACAGGTTGTGTCTATAGAAAGTGCTTGGTCCTGTGCTACTTTCTAAAATCCTGCCCGCAACGTCTGTGTTYTAGTCACATTTTTCTGTGTTCTATGATGCTGCCCTGAGAGTTTGATAAGAAGTGATCTAGCCTCCTGTCTGCAGTTGGTCTCACCTCCTCAACCTCTTTTTCCCCCCAAGGGTATGAGCAAAATTAAYGTTCATTTGCATATGTCAGCTCCCTCTGGGATATGGAAGTGGCTGGAACCATCTGAAATGATTGTTGCTGTTTCGAACAATTGTTTAACAATTGCACTGGCCTTTTGTTGTTGTTTTTCTCCTTGTCTCAACCAGCTAGAACTGAAACCTCAAGGRAGAATGCTGATGAATGCAAGATACTTCCTGGAAATAAGTGGCAAGTGATTTTGTTTCCTAACTGATGGATATGACTTATGGTGATGTGGGGCAGATTCAGTGTGTTCAGGAAAATGCTTAGTGCAGAAAGCAGTGCTTATGTTATTACTGATTTATTCATAGAATCATCATAATGGTTTGAAATGAACACTCCAGGAGAGGCAGTTTTTATTATGTGGCAGGAAGGAAGGCTGATTGTTCCTCTGTGATTTGCATCACATATTTTTTGGCAGTTTTAACATTGAAAAGGTGGGTTTTCTTTTCACACTGAGATGGGACTGAGACATAGGAAGCCAGGTCCCGCTCTGAAAATATATATATATGTGTATGCCTGTGATGTGTATGAGGCAATTGTAGTGCAGACAAAAATGTGGGATTCTATGCATGGATGAAAACATTTAAATAAATGTGTAAGTTGGGCTTTTAATCAAGGGCAATCTAAATGAAACAGTAAAAGAAAGTAGAGAGCGATTCATCTGCAGCCTGGTGAGCTGCCTTGGTAGCAGCTTAGTTAACACTACACAAGACAGCTGCTTTTAGGTATCCTCATCAGGACCTGAATCCCACCATCAGAGTTTGATATCCATGCAAAATGTATTTTTCTTCATCAAAGGAAAGGAGTTGCAACCCAAATGCTCCGTTGTGCTCTGCTGTCTTTGCCCAGCTTCTTGTGATCTTCATCAGGCCTGGGCTGGAGCTGTAGAAGGAGATGGTGGAGGAAAGGTCTTCCATGTACTGAACCACAAAAGTACTGAAAGCAGCTAATAGCATGTCCTTACTCATCATTTCCCACCTTTACTGTTTAATAGACTCTTACTACCTCTTTGTATACTTTAAGACACGAGAGGCTAATGCATTTAAAATGCTATATCTATATTAGAGCTAGCAAGATCAGCATCAGACTGTGCAGGGGGCCACTTCCCACAGAATAGCTACTTGATTTCATACTTCATACACACTTTCATGTATGAATAAATCGAGATTGGGATAAAATGTGAGCTGYTATGTGCACAACTAGAAGTGAACATATATGTAAGTGCAGGTGGGTATATGCGTAAGTTGGCAGAGTTGTTTTGTTTTCTGCCTGGAAGGTATAAAAAGTGAACTGCGAATAATGTTATGAATACAGCAAATGACAAGGCAACTGTTGGCATGAGGGATGGAAAAATCACAGGAAAAAGAGTATATRTATGTGAGTGTACTCACACATATGTGCATGCACACATTAGAGATTTAGATAACTACCCCTAAAAATGCACAAATGTGTGTATGTGTATACACGTATGTAATGTGTATTTGCGTATAAGTTATTTGTATGTAATTCCATCTTTTTTAGGGCATAGTTCTTCAGTACTACAGAAAGACTTATTTTTGACTGCAATTTTTCTCTTATTAGTAAATTTCTGATCTATATTTAAAAAAATATATGAATATTCAAGGGAGGTCAATGTCTCAAATTTTGACCAGCTCCTGAAGTTATTTTATTGTCCTTGTAGGGATAGTGGATAAATCAGTTCTTAATGAACCTTGTGTGGTTTTCTGAAAGCATATTTCTTAAAAATATTCATTCTCATGAATACATTACCCTCARTCACTTAGTATTTTGGATTCTGCCTTTTCCCAAGGTACCTGGTTAGGACAGAGTGCCCTAACWAGCCCTCTTTTTCTTTTCCCTCCAGATGCTAAGAACATCATTGACTGTGAGACCGAAGGCTTTTTCTCCTTGCACCAGCGGAGGGGCGCCATCAAACAGGCCAAAATCCATAATGTCAAGTGTCATGAGTTCACAGCCACCTTCTTTCCGCAACCCACCTTCTGCTCTGTCTGTCATGAGTTTGTGTGGTAAATGAAAATAGCTCTACATGTTTCCTTCTTTTAACTCTAAAGACCAGCACTGCTTCTTCAGCAAATACTTTTCTTCCTGCTATTAGGAAAGACAGCAAGAGTGGACCATTGGTATGTTACATGTAGGAGTAATTGCATCACTTCAAGGATATGATGCCGTTTTACAGATGTAATTCCAACTCTGAAAACTGTCTCCATTTTTTTATATATATATTTGTCTTTGGCCAAAGGCACAGGCATTTTGGCATTTGCCCTTTTGCTTTTGCAAAATTCAAAATGTGAATATGGGCTGAAAATACTGTGAAAACAACAGAGAATCACTCAGTTGTACTGAATGAATATATTTGGATTTGAGAAGCTCTGTAAAAACTGATGAAGAAGCAAGGCTGATTTATTCCATGTCTCTTTCATTCCGCTGTCTTTCTGTGGAGACTTTCAGAAAATTCAAAATTAACCATTTCTGTCTTTAATTTCAGGGGTCTGAATAAACAAGGCTACCAATGCAGGCGTAAGACCTTTTTTTTTTGTTTGTTGTTCCTCTCCTTACTTATCTGGTCTTAACTTGAAGCATACTTTTTACTAACATAGTGATACACTTGTTCTTTCAGAATGTAATGCTGCCATCCATAAAAAGTGCATTGATAAAGTCATAGCGAAGTGTACGGGATCAGCAATCAATAGCAGAGAAACAATGGTATGTATTTTTGCTTGGTTGCTTTTAAAACACTTGAGTACTGTTCAAATACACTGATAAAAAAGGAGGGGGACTCGGTGCAGTGTAGGACACTAGTGAGATAAAAGTTGTATGATCTAATCTACATCCTTTGCTTTTTACATTTCCAGTGGTTTCATTACCTCCTGCTTGTGATTTACACAAGTACAGTTGTTGAACTGTCAGTCTTTGAATCAAGACTTGACATTTTTTCTAACATATAGCATATAGCTCAGAGGAAAGTCATGGACATAAGGTGGAGAATTACTGGAGGAAAGTCTTTACTCGGCAGTGCTAGGCAGGATGTCACACTGAATTTTCAGAACAGTACTTTAAAATTCCACACTGTTATCTGAAATCTGCAAACAATCCGTGGAAGGTCTAACATTTCTGCTATCATTTATTTTATTTTTCTTTTATCAGTTTATAACAAACCTTCCTTTTCAGATGGCAAAAGTGGAATTTGAAGTCTGAGTATGAGTGTTTCCTCTTTCTTCATTATGTCCCATAACTCTATTTGTTCCCAGTCTCACCCTGCCTCCTACTCATCTTTTACAGTCTGAGGGGTGACATTCATCTCACCTGTCTTCACATATCTCTAGAGTAAATGTATGCAGCCTTGTCATCATCTCTGACTCCCCACATACTGAAGGAAGAGAAATAGGCACTTCCAGGAAGTGATTCATGACATTGAAAGTAGACATTTATTTCTGGATGAGATGAATCATTCTTTAGCAGTACCCATGTTTTTCCATTGAGCATTAAGGGAGCCTGAGTGAGTAGCTGAAATGCAGGCACCCACATCTGATCAAATAAATAAAATCCAGCAATTAAATTACCCATTTCCCACTGAACTGCACAGCTGTTTTGTAGCAAAAATTCTCCTTTTGTGTCTGAATGCTGTAGATAGTTTAAACTTAGTGTTCAAACCCAATAACAAAGATGAAATACCGACCTAGACCCTTTGTCTTCTGGGGTACAAGCTTGGGGGCTGCATGTACTGGGGTGGAAAGGAGTGCATCGTCAACACAGATTTTTTCTTGCAGTTCCACAAGGAACGGTTCAAAATTGACATGCCTCACCGCTTCAAAGTCTACAACTACAAGAGCCCCACTTTCTGTGAGCATTGTGGCACACTCCTCTGGGGCCTTGCGCGACAGGGTTTAAAGTGTGATGGTAAGTCCCTGGTGTATGAGGCAGGGGCTGATAGTAGAAGCAGGCTGTCATCTTTAGGGAGTTGCAGTCCAAAGAATCAAATCTCCTTTATCACAGTTTTAAGTGAGGCTCCATCGTGGGGTGTTGAAGGAGATATGAAGATGAAGGAAATTGTTGAAGGACAATCAAGGGCATGTTATGGGCATGTAGAAGGGTATGTGGCCTGTGGGTCTTGAAGAATTTCTTCCAGAAAGGAAAAGGAATATCTCAGTGCTTCCCTCTCTCTCTTGTCTTCCAAAATCCTCTTATCAGACTTCTTGCTCCATTTCTGCTAATAGACATGTTCAATGCACATCACTGTCTTCTTAACCATAAACCTACAGGGAGGTCTTTTTCTGTGACTACAGTTCTTTGATTGATTTCTGTGACTACAGTTATAGAGCTGATTGATTGTAGAGCTTCAGTATCCTGTAGCTTCAAAGGCTGACAGATGGACAGCCTTTTTCCAGAAGCAGATACAGAAAAAAAAAAGTTCACTGTGTAAGCAATCAAAAATCAACCCGAGTGAAGTATAATGAGACAAAAAAGTTTACCTGGTTTACGTTCATCCTGGGCTACACACCAGTACATCCTGACCTTATGTCAAACCCTTTACAGCATAGTTGTTCTCTGAGTTTACCTGGTTTACGTTCATCCTGGGCTACACACCAGTACATCCTGACCTTATGTCAAACCCTTTACAGCATAGTTGTTCTCTGGTGTCCTGATGCCTCCATTCTTTCTTTTAGCGTGCGGCATGAATGTGCATCACAAGTGCCAAACAAAAGTAGCGAACCTCTGTGGAGTTAACCAGAAACTAATGGCTGAAGCTTTGGCAATGATTGAGAGTACKCAACAGGTAAGTGCATCAAGCTGAGAGTCCTGTGAGTCCCTGGCTAAGAAAGATCAAGAGTTCAGTGGTTATTCCAGTGCACTTACGGGTTTTGAATGAAGTAGAGCAGGTAAAAAGTTTGACAAAGAGGCAGTTAGGCCTTCATTGAACATGTAGCTAAATTCTTCTCAGCACACTGTGGAAGCTAAAAGTTTATATGAGTTCAAATGATCATATGAGATGTTCATTGAAGAAAAGTCCATTCAATGGGCTCTTAATAGGAAATAATAGCTCTTTATAGGAAAAAAAAAAAAAGAAAAAAAAAAGTAGAAAAACCCTGCCTTTGAATCAGGAAATCTTTGAGCCACATGTCTCTGGAGATGGGAGAATATTCAGAGGAGTATATGTGCCTGTGTTTTTCTCATATGTTCCTGAACCCTGCCACAGACTGGATGTGACCTACATGGACTCTCACTCTGATTCATAGCACTTCTTACCGTATGTTCATAGCTTTAGTTGTGTAAGAAGATGTTAGAGAATTAGAGGAACTAGAGCCCTTGTGCTTCGTGGTTGTCTCTTAGAAGATTCTCTTGTGACTCTGACCTATTTGGAGTGAAACTTTCCAGAGTGAGGATTCTCATGTAACAGAGACCTGGTCCTTAGAGAGAAGATCTAAGTACTACTATCATATAAGTAATGCTATACAAACACAGCAAATTGTAAAGAATGAAAAATAGATTGTCACAGCTTCTAAACCATAAAAAAGTAAACATTTTTGTTCAAAATCGTGATTGTTAGGATGCCTCTCAGGTCTTAAATAATCTAGGGTCAAGTTTTCCATATTGAAGTTCCTCAGATACCCCATGACAACATCTTCATTCACAGCTTCTATTTATACCTTCCTGAGGGAGTATCTACCAGGTTTAGCTCTGCATATTTCTCATCTTTATGAGTGATGCTGCCATATAATCAAAGAGGGTTTTTTCCCTGTGCCTTGCTTCTTTTTTTCCARTTTGTTGACTCTATGCAATCCTGGGTAGTGATTTCTTTGGGTCACCATTGTGAAGTGAGGATGACAAACACTAGATGGCTTCYTCAAATGCTCTTTTAATTTACAGCAATTTAGGCCTAGGGAACTTCTTGAGCTGTAGGTGAAGTCTTTAGTTTAGTAGCCCTCTGTAGRTTTTTCTTCCATGCTTTTGTCTTATTGCTTTTGAAAACAGATGAACTTTTACCTTTCGCAACATCCTGGGTTAAGTCGTTCCTCTGAGTCACATCCAGACAGAGTACASGGTCGAGATTGCAGCACATTCCAGGTTTCACTTCCAGGACAACTAGTAGGAAAAAAAAGATGTTAACTAAAATGCACTTTGTGTGGATAACCACTCCCATGAGAAATCAACAGAAGTCCTTTGACATCACTATATGACTCTGTACTTTCCTGAAGACTGTGGGTTCCTCTGGTGTTACAAACATCTGAATATTAGATACAGCGAGGGTCTTTTCATAAATAAAGACTAGATCTCTGCCTGTTTAACAATCACGCTCTTCCTAGGCCAATAGTCTCAGAAGAGGCAGCAGAATCCRTAAGCACATGTGGCTCAATAGGCACCCGCTGTTTTCTGTAATGCAGGCTCGCTGTCAACGTGACACTGAACAGATCTCTAGGGATGGACCTCTTGAAATTGGCTTCCCAGTTCTTATGAAGGAAGTGATGCAACTTCAGGCAGTACCAGCTTCTACAACAGGAAAAAAAGGTAGTTTTGCTTAGTGGTTTGGGACTGTGGGCTTCTTTTTTTTTTCTTTTTTTGATTTTTTGTTTATAATGGTTGAGTGGAGGCAACAAGGGGAATTTTGTTAGTTAATGAATCTTTTATATGTCTTTCTAGTCTAGAGCAAGACATGGCTTGCTCATGCAATCTGCGTGTCAGAACACACAGATAATTTAAAAAGGAGAATTCTTTCAAAGGCATAAGTATCAGACAATCCCTTTGAAAATCATCAGCCGATCCCCAGATCACTCACTCATGGGCTGATCTAGGTGTTACCACCTTTGTKCTTCAAGAGCAGAGGCTCAGGGTGACAAGTGAGGGACAGAGGCATAAAAAAATAATATTTATTGTCCTGTCTGGTTCACACTCTGGTTTTGCCAAGGCTCTTGAAAAGCCTTAGGAAATGTGAGAACACATCATAATGACAGCCAGCAGAAAGGACTGAAGAACACGGGCAGTCAGAAGTGAGGGGTTTGATCATGTTTTCCTCCCATGAAACAAAATGACAGGTAATGGAGTTTGTAAAATGGGAGTAATGCCACCTAAGAAGGTGGAGTTGCACTGGAGTAAAATTTCCCCTGGAGAAAAGGCAATGTGGGAGCAGAGCCAATCCACCTACTAGATGTGGCCACCACATTTCCATTCCTGTGAAAAGATGTTTTTATATTTTAGGCAAAACACCTATCAGTGTTCTGGGGGATTTCTCATTTCCAGGGATTTATTTTCAATGCTTTGATTTGTGTTGCAGAACCACAGGGCATCTCCTGGGAGACTCCAGTGGAGGACACATCGAAAGGAGAGCCTCTCATAGAGCCAGATTCAGGAGGAGAACAGCCCCAGGAGCAGCAAGGACACCAAGTCCAAATAAAATTAACCATTGAAGATTTTGTCCTGCACAAGATGCTGGGGAAGGGAAGTTTTGGCAAGGTAAATGTCAGGGATCTGGGATGGCACTTCAGAAGTCTATGCATGTCACCTGTTAGAGAACAGAAACACTTAATTTATGACTTACTGACTTGCTAGAAGTCAATTTGCTGGTGTTGACTCACTGAAAGTCTAACATTGCCCTTCCTTTTTCCAACTTTAATCCAAAGACTGGCTGAATGGTGTTAGATAGCATGATGTCTGGAGGTGACTTTGAAGTAACATCCTTAAGCCCTCAGTAAAACCTTGTTCTTGCAATGCTCCATCTTCAACCTGCTCTTGCCCTTGCATAAGACAAAGACCCTCCTTGTCTTTCTGTCTGCCCTTTAGCTGCTGTGTCACAAGTGCCCATGACTGGAGGGGAAAACAGCTAATGCTGCTACTTCCACTTTTGTGCAGGTCCATGTGGCCTGGTCAGTCACCAGAAGTTCATGGGAAGGATCTCTCTCACAGGCATCTACACCAGCCAGAATCACTGAGCAAGCTGCCAGGAAGGCAAGAGCATTAACTAAAAAGACTAGGTGGACCCTCTCTCCAGAACAGCTTGGAGCAGTGGACTGCTCTTTGCCAGCTCTGATTTGTGCTGGAGCATAAGGCTAGTTTTACAACAGCCAAGAATTTATGCTTTTGAAGCAAGAACCACGTGTTTTCAGGGGATTCATTAATCTTRATGAATGGTTGGCTGTTCCTTCTTCTTGCAGATGTCCCCTGGAAGGAGACTGTTATTTAGTGCCAATGCAGAGCTGCATGAGGCCATTTCAGAAGAAATCAGCACTTTGTTGTTTTCTTGTTTGTTTGTTTTGTTTTTTAGTTTTGTTGTTGTTGTTTTTATAGCCATAAAGGACAATGCTTTCTTTACGTATGTACTGCCTTGGCTTTCCAYACTTGAAAATAATTGGCATGCTTACACTTTCCATGGGAAGCAGAGCTCAGATACCTAAACAGGCCTAACACAGCATACTCCATAGCCTGGCTAAGCCAGACTGAAGAATGCTCTGGAACTTGCCTAGTCAAGTCTTGAACATCTCTAAGGATGGAGATCCTGTACCTTGCTTTCGTACCGTGTGCTAACATGGGGTCTCCAAGCTCACATGCCTCTGCACTTTGCTGCAATAGGAGATGTGAAGACGATGGTTTTCGTTCATASTCGTTTTCTGCAGAATATCCCACTCACAAGTTTCCTGTGTAGGTTTTGCTCCAGATACTCTCWTTTGTTTGGAGTTAAATTCACTTCCCCATAAGGAGGCAACAAGGTGTTCAGATCTCCATGCCTGATGGATCTCTCCAACTCTTCATGAACCAGGGAAGTTTAGGGTCCAGACCCACGGGGAAGTCCTCTCATGCACAGGTGTAGCCCTGCCTACCTGTGCCTTGCATCAAGGTACATGGAAGGCTCCTTCAGAAGAAGTCAYGCCTGTGTCACATTCCCCAGTTTCACCAGAAGAGCATTTCTCACCCATGAGTTAGGGAACCAAAGGATCTTGCAACATTAGCRCTATTAGCATTTGTGGACATTCACTGTAGAGACAGAGGGAAGCTTTAGTTTCAGTCTAGTGCTCTGGACATTTGTCAATAGCCGAACGGGCAAATAAAACATTTTGTCAGGATTACAACATGTCTGAACTTACTCAGTAGAGAACTCCAAAGGCTGCTTTGATGAGCCTTAAATATTTGTTCAGTCTATAGGAAGCAGTGTCAACAGGATGTTAGAGTAAAGATCAGACCTGGCACTGACTTTCAGCACCAGAACTGTTCTACTTTAAGGCCTCAAGCAAAATACCGTGCTGCCCCTTACATCAGTTTCCTCTGCCTGTAAAAGTAGATAAAAGTAGTCCTAGCTCCTCCTAGACATGGTTTGCTAGTGCTTAAAGGGTATTTTGCTGTTCTCAGAGAAGACGTCCTGAAGATGCACAGGTGAACCTATTCAGGCCTTTCATTAACTGCCAGGTGAGGAGAGAAAGCAGAATATAGATTAGTCTGATTAATGGTGGACATCAGTTTACAGCTGCTGAGGAGCTACTGCAGGGTATTTGCATTTTGCATGGTGTTGACAAAGAAATAATCTATTTTTTGTTATTTAAAGACAGAAAACAGGAAATATTTCTTATGAGCATTTGCATGAACATGGTTTCTGTTGTCAGAACTACCTGGCTCTGATATGCTTTGTCCACATGGGCATGTCACACCTGCTCTCATAATCACTCAAGCCTTCTCATCTTTTTTTTTTTTGGATTTAGCCTCATAACACCATTCTGTGTGGGAGGGAAAAAGCTCAAAGGCTATAGACTTAAAGGCAGGATCAGGTTTTAAGCTTCAGCTTCTCAAAGGTCTAATGGATGCCCCAGAGCCATTTCCTCATGCAAAATTTTCTGCTCAGTGTTGCTCAGTGCTGCGTTTCAGCYGATCTCGCTCAGCTTCTGTCCTATCACGGCAGCATATGCAGCCTGAGAGAAGAGCGTTGTTCTTTCTGAGAGATCCTTTCCACCCTAGGTGTTCCTCGCCGAGCTGAAGAACACCGACCAGTACTTTGCCTTGAAAGCCTTGAAGAAGGATGTGGTGCTGATGGATGATGATGTCGAATGCACGATGGTGGAAAAGAGAGTCCTCTCCTTAGCTTGGGAGCACCCRTTCCTGACTCACGTCTTCTGCACCTTCCAGACTAAGGTAAGATGAGGCACCATTAGCTCCTTACATGGGCCAGTATGCTGAGATTGTGCTTACATCTGCTAAATGTGAGGGACTAACTTCAAGGAGAAGTCATCCTAAGGGAAAGGTTATCCAAGTGGCCCCAGAAATTTCATCTTCCCTCCCCACATTAATTTGGAGGGGCAGTTTGTAAGGAATGCTACCCAAGAGAGTGAGGCAGCTATGCAGAGAGCCACTGTTCAAATCAGAAGCCCAAAGCTGCAGGCCTAGGATGTGAAAAGGCCACTTCTGCAGCCAGGGTGCAGATCTACCCACCCCAGTGTCATGCAAACCTCTCAACACTGCACTGCAGCCATGAGCCTGGATCACCGTGAGCTCAAGAAACTCTGCTCAGTGCCTTCTGATAGAGAACACACATGCTGTTGTTCCCTCAGGGGATTTCCTTTCCCCTCCAGCTTAGCTGTTGAATTGCATCAGACCCTTCATAATTCATCTCAGGACTTTGGCCATGAGGGCTGCAGTTCAGAGCAGTAGTGCAAAGCATCTTCACCCAAAATCTCTTAGGTCCCCAAAACTCAAGTAGTRTTTAAGTAATATTTAAGTCTCTCTGGCCCTAATATTTATGAACCATGGCCCAATTCATTTTTCAGATATTTGCCTACAGTCACTGTTAACTCTGGAACAAATGCACAGGCATAAAAATAAATGAATAAATAAATAAAGATGGAGGAAYTTGGAGAGACTGTCTTGTCTGTCCCTCTGTTCCATCCCAGASCCCCAATTTATATCACCATCACCCTCACTGTGCTGCTTTCTCAGGGCTGTACTGAGGAGGCTCCTGTCCCTGCTCCGTTCCAGATTTAATGACAGAAAACACTGCCTAGCATGAGGTTAGCACCTGCTCGGCAAGAGGGCTGAGCRGGTCATGAGAAACAAATATAGCCTCTGCTGTTTCTCCCTCTGGTCTGTGAGACCGGACACCTGTTTAAAGACAGGGGATTAAATTTATGCCGGGGAATGTCTGGGAACTACTGTAGGCAGTGTGACACTGAGCCCAGGAATTAGTGTTTAACCCCTTTGGGACTGTCAGTGAGGAGGACGGCACATCCTGGGAATGGATCCTTTCCTAGAGGAAAGGAATTAATTCCACCTCCTCCTCCCCCCTTTTTTTTTTCTTTTAACTAGATTTTAGTTTAAGATATAAATGGCCTGACTGCAAAAGTAAAGAAAATAAAGACTTTAATTAAAAAGACAAGATATATGGAAACTCATGCTCCGGGGATTGATGACTGTGTTGCATGTAATTCTCCATTCCTGAGCAGAGGTTGACTGGTTCCAGCAGTTGCATGCAGCAACATGCTGTGGTCCAGCCTGATCCAGCGTTGGTCTGGAAGCTGGAGATAGAATTTGGGCCCTTGCCAGGTTGTACATTCGGGCTGYGCATGTGTACAAGTGTCCGCTTCCCTACGGAGACCACAGCAGAAAAGGTGACAGACCAAAGAGAGTCATACTGTGAGCCCAATGTGATTTACTGACTCTTTTGGCAAGACCGTGCTTGCAACTGCAGCTAGGGCAAGGAAACCCTGCCAAGAGGAACAGGAGCGAACACCTGAAAAATATGTGGGAATCAGATTAAAACATCCAAGGGATCTTTTCCTGCTCCTTCTCCTTCTCTTGTCATATAGCAAAAAATCTCYATCCATCTCCTCCCAGATCAATATTGTCACATTAAAGTTATTTGGTCACTCAGATGTGTCCTCCAGCTCACAAATGCAGAAACTAGAGAGTGTCAATCCTGGCCAAAGATGCTCTGAGTAGTGATTGATTTCTGGCTTATGATTCTCTTCTCTGACCTTTGCAAGGCAGATGGCCATCATTCAATGTGTAAAAGTCGGGCAGAGCAGGAGAGTTTTGACAAGCCATGGAGGGTCTTTCACTGCTCAGTGCAGAGCGTAGCTCAATTGTAATATCTTTTGAAGTAACCATTTCAAAAGCCAGTCCCTTTCTGGCCCCTAATATTGGATAGGTGTGTGAATTGATTATTTTATTTTTATTTTATTTTCATTTTGTTTTTTATATATTTTCTATTTTTATTTTACTTTTTATTTTATTTTTAGTTTCAATTAGTTTAGTTTAGTTTGTTTTGCTGGACAATTGCTTTCAGAAATATATGTCAATGCCTTTCTGGCCTTTCTGAATCCCTGGCGCTTTGTCCTGCAAAGCCTTGAGCTGCCACAGGCACCGAGTGCCTCTTTAAAGGACAGCAAAAACAGGAACACTCCTACACCAAAACAAGAGTCTAAGCAGATCCCCAGATCTCCGGAGAGAAAAGTCATCTGCTGACCTGTACTGTGAGCTCTAGGTTGAGTTTCTCCCTGGCCTCAACCCAAATAATCAGGGAATACTCAAATATATAAAGCTTGACAGCCCTCAGGCAGGTTTCTGTAGGCRCCTGGCACCTAATGCTCCCTTTTCTTTAGTGGAGGCTGAGTGATAGGTACTTTTGAAACTCGGAACACTTGTCATGCTTTGCTACATTAGAATAAATTTGAATGCATAGGGTTTCTTTTCCAAATCTGTAGGTTCTCTTTTCCAGATCAGTTTTTGAAGTTGACTGTTCTATTTTGCTGCAGTGATCTTTGCATCTGGTTATTCAACTGACACCCACACACACACACACAAAAAAAAAAAAAAAAAAAAAAAAAAAAAAAAAAAAAAAACCCAGATTCTGTTTTATTAGATTTAAAGGGTCACCGTTACATTAAAAAGAAGGAAAAAAATGTTTATAATTCTATGAAATCCTCACACTACTAATGCCCAGAATGACTAGCTTTTGCTTGCCTACATTATATTTTTCTCTTTGCATTTCACTGATCTTCTGTGATAAAAATAGGCTTTCTCTTTCTGAAAGTCACTTTTGTTCCTAACTGCTTACTTCATTGACCAGGTTCTTATTCACACCCTTTACATGAATGCAAATTAAGTCCTTAAGCTTTCTGTTTTTTAGCACAAAATGACTGTCTTAACCCAAAACAGAAGTAATCTTTATTGTAATTTCTAAGCTAGGATTATAGAAACGTTTCATTTCTGCTATACTGGCATATCATATCTTTTCAAAGTGATGGCAGTGAGCTGTTTTCCTGTGCTGTGTTGTTTTACATTGATTTAAAAATCTCTTACATTGGCAGAAGGCAGAATAGAAATGAAGACTAGACCATGATCTTAATTTTAAAAATACTTAGACCTTAATCCTCTGAAGTGTTTTCCATGAGTATTTTCAGARGGATTTCTCATCAAATTATCTCCTCGGGGGGAAATTGCAACTCCTGCAAATTTTTTCCAGGACCAATTTCAGTTTTCTCATATCTCTGGCTTTCTGCTAGAGGAACAGGGCTGAATAATTTCACCTGAACCARGTCCTTTGACTGAAGCTTTATTGCATGAGAGGTCCTCTTGTGAGGAAGGGGAATTGAAAGCCTTGACCTGAAGCTGCATTGAACCACTGAAACATGGCAAAATTGACTTAACAAAACACTTCTGTGTTATCTGCAATCTAAGGTGTCCTTTGAGTCAACCCAAATATCCTTCAGGACAGTGCCCTATTTTTGGTGTTCACCAAGCAGGGATGCTAAAGCAGAAAGTGCAGGGAAATGCAGAGTGATGTTTTTCCCCTTGCACAAACTGTCCCAGACCTTGGCATCCAAGTATGCAGGAGATAAGAAGACCTTGAAGCTTCCAGGTTTCTAGAGCTCCATTCTGCTGGTCTGCTGTCGGAGATAGGTCATCTTGCAGACCTCTGATTCGGAAATTTTGGGCCAAGTGTGAGCCAGCCTGAGGAAAGCCAGGGGAGGAATAGAAAGCTTAGGGCACTAGGAGTCTTTAGGGCTCTTGGCTTCTTCTTGCAAGCAGTAGGCAAGAAAACTGTCAAGTTCTCTTTGGCCCACATTTCAGCACACTTCCATAGAAGTAGCAGCATCTCAGCAGAGCTTTGGGATTTCGGCAAGATTCTGCCTGAGAACCTGTGCAGSTGTGGTTATAACACGAAAAACGTAAAGTCTTTAAAAGACACTTGTGGGTTGGTGTCAGYCCTGGTGGTGTGAGCATGTTGAGCACCCTGGCCAAGAAAAGAGGGGGCCAGATCATAACAGGAGGGATTTAATGTAACAGCAAATGGACTTAGAGGGTATATTAAATACACATATTAAATATACATATTTCCATTGCTCACCTATTGTCTGACTGTGAGGAAAATCAGCCTAAAATGTATTCAACTTAGATTGGCATCTCTAAAAGGATGCAGTTTATCTGGTCTCACCAGAAAGGTTGACCTTGCAAAGTAAAAACATTACTTTTGTTTCCCCATTTTTCAGTTGCCAATTTATTTAGGTTTCATGAAATTGTCGGCTTTTTATTTAGGTTCTGGCTTGGGAATTCCTTTTCCTGTAATATTCAGAGATTTTTCATCCAGCCTTAAGAATATTAGTCTCTTGCCAAGATTTCCCCCAAAAAACTAAAACAGGGGATCCTGCTTTGTTTTGCAGAACAGGGGTGATAGTAACTCAGCCTGCAGGGCTCATCTTTATCACAGCAAGTATGGTGCAAATATACTTTGCCTGCTCTGACCTACAAATAAAGGTTCTAGGAGAACAGAATTCAATTAAGAGTGATTTCCAGACATGTGAGCATTTCAATGTGTATTGATATACACACACACGTATATATACATGTATGCATATATGTATGTATTTATTCATATGCTTTACACCAAGTAGATGGGCCCACAAAGCTAAGTATACCAAATCAGTGGTTTAATATGCAGTGAAAGATGCTGACAGTGTAAAGTTTAGAAGGAAAAAAAGAAATCGTAAGATCAGGGGCTGGACTGCTTTTACTGCTAGCTGTAAGAAATGCTGCCATCTCTAGTAGATAGGCTGGTATTGCACAAGGAGAAAAAAAATCTTTTCGAGCAGAGAGCAAAATTAAACCTTTTGTTGCCTTAATCAGTAGCAAATTGGCTTTGCTCTTCCTCAGATGGTGCAAATAGTGTCCTCCTATGGTCACCTGCTTGGAGATGTGCAGCAGCTGCTATATGAGCTGTCCCTGCTGAGAGCAGATGTGTGTGCGTGCACTGCTACCCTTCCCAGTGAATAGGATTGCAGCCTTCAGGACGTTCACTGGTGATGTGAAGAAGATCAGGGAGGCCTGATTTGGTTGCCGTCTATTCTGTGAAGCAGAATAAGGCCGAGTTCTGGATAGGCATCCAGACTGTTGCATTCTCCTTGGCAAGGTTTTAGCCTGGCCAGTGATGTGAATTATGAACTGACTGGATGGCAGAGCTCAGAGGGTGGTGATAAAAGGGACCGAGTCTACTTGGAGGCCTGTCCACAGAGGCACCAGAGGCCTGCAAGTCCACAGAGGCACCAGAGCTCTCCTCAGCTCTGATGAGGCCACATCTGCAGTATTGGGGGCAGTTCTGGGCTCCCCACCGCAAGAGGGATGTGGAACTTCTAGAGAGGGTCCAGTGGGGAGCAACAAAGATGATTAAGGGACTGGAGCATCTATCACTCAAGGCAAGAGTGAGTTGGGCCTATTTAGCTTGGATAAGAGAATGTTGAGAGGCGATCTGATCAATATGTGTAAGTATATGAAGGGTGAATGTAGAGAGGAAGGGGTCAAACCCTTCTCAGTGGTGGCCAGTGATAGGACAAGGGGCAATGGGTACAAGTTGAAACACAGGAAGTGCCATCTCCAGGTGAGGAAGAATTTCTTCACTGTGAGGGTGTCGGAGCCCTGGCACAGGCTGCCCAGGGAGGTTGTGGAGTCTCCTTCTCTGGGGATCTTCCAAACCCGCCTGGATGCCACCCTGTGCCACATGCTCTAGGTGTCCCTKTTGGAACAGGAGGGTTGGACTAGATGATCTCTAGAGGTCCTTTCCAASCTTGAACATTCTGTGATTCTGTGACATCTCATGCTTTACTGCACAGGCATTGTTTAGGGGTAGCATGGGCCAGGGTTTGTTACCAAGAGCCAATTTGGACACATGTGTTAAATTCCAGAGACTCAGACTTGGGGTGCAGGACCCAGGTGTCTTCACTGCAGCCCCACAAGAGCTGGGCTTAGCTGTAGAAAAGAGTGAGAAGGGAATCAACTGCGGGAATTCCATCATGCCAAATGTTTCTCTGAGCAAGCACCAACTAAATTCAATGGAACTGCGGTGGAGCACAGTCACTTTGTCTGGACTCAGGACCCTTCTTCAAACTGAGCCATTTGCTGGAATATTGCTAGAATAGCTGCTCTAGTCAGGGTAATGCGRCATAGTCCTGCAGCATTAATTGTTCCAATATTCATGTCTCAGAAGCCCTGGGAAGGAGAATTTTGCTCTCCAGTAAATGATGTTAAATTGTATATTTGTATGTAGGCAAATGCTTTCAAATGCATAGAAAACAGAACCTTAAAATCTCCACAGAAAAGTACTCTGGAGAGCTTCCAGCTGCTTTGAGGATTTTAAGAGCCTGTTATAGGATGTACCTTCAAAAGACCAATTTAAATGCTGCTTGCTTTATACTCATTGTTTATAAAGTCGAAAGCATCCCTGATGGTGACTATTCATTCTCACAGCAGTCGCATGCAGAATAGAAGCAGGTTGATTTAACTCCTTTTCTGCCATGTCCTGGAGAGGTAGAGAGAGCATATTGTTCAGCAGAGTAGATATCAGCTCAGCTTGGACACCGAGGGATTTATGGGGGAAAAAAATAGCTCTTGATAAAATTAAGTCTGTCAACACCTGCTGGGACTGGGCCAAGGAGGGCACCCTGTTATTTTGCATGTGGGATGCACTCTCACATGTGCATTGTACAGCATCATTCTATCTGCTGCAGAAACAGCTCTTAGTCCTCCCACATCAGGGCTAATCCCATTCCCTCTGCTGCGAGGAGGATGGTGTCTAGCATTGGTCATCCTGAGGCAGAGTCAGCTCTTCTGGATCAGCTCCCAAGGCAGAGTGTAGGAACTGACTTTCCAGTCCACCTTGAACTCTGTGGTTGTAAAACATGGTCCCAAACTCTGTCCTAAGATCAGGTATGCTTATGCCATTTGAGTCTGAAACCATGAMCAGAAGTTTGTCTTGGAAGTTTGCTATTCAAGGATACTCTAACAGCAGGAGGTCTGCAAGGTGACCATTGTCTACAAGACAGATCTGTGGAAGGAAGGTGGGAGACTCTTCCAAAGCCCTTTTCAGAGCTGTGTAGATGCCATCACGGAGATGTTCATGTTTGTTTGCTTAGTGCTCCTGACCTGTGACCAACAGAGTTAAGATCATGCTGTCATTATTATGCCATATCTGTAGATAGTACCAGCCATACCACCACTTCTTGAGAAATACCTACTCTACCCACTCCCATCTGCTCTTGAAGCTGGCAGACTTCAGAGCCTTGCAGTATCWGACACTTGAGAAAGAGACATCAGATAGATTTCCCAGGGCAAGAGGAAGTGCCAGTCAGAGCCTGTCTGAGAATACATCCTCCATGCCATTCTAACCCTTTAACCTCTAGTACTTGTTAAATTTTCAGTGGTTTCAAGCATGAGTTTTGCTGCTTCCCTATTGAGGATGTTCTGTAGCACCATAGATCTTGGGCATAAGAACTTGTCTCCAATAATTGGTTGCAGTTCTACTACTTGATGACATCTTGCTGCTCTTATTTACTCTTAGAGTTGGCCTCAATAAAMTTATATCCTTGGACAATGCTAGACAGTTGACCTTTATAAAAAGCAAGGGGAGCTTCCAATTTCACAGCAAAAACTCAGAGTGATGCTGTCTTTTATTTTCAACAGAATTTATATACCACTCGCTAGCACCTGGTAGACCAAGAACTTCAGTAGAAGTCATGCCTGAGTCAGATTTGTGGTCATCTACTTCATTATCTTTAAGTAGTTCAGAGACTGAGCTCATGTATGAGTTCTCTGGATGCCAAAGTGTCTGAGAGGTTTCAGTTTTTTCTTTCCCCAGATGGCAGAGAGATGTTATCAGAACCCTCTGATCAATTATGTAGGCACTATGAGGCTACTATTCGAAACAAGGAGCAAGCTGAGTGTGATTGCATATTCTGCTGAAGAAACAGGGACCTCAGTTTATACTTATAGACCCCTTGACCCCTCCGTTTCTCCATCGTTTTCTCTTCCAAATAAAACAACCCATTGGCCCTGTTCTGCTACATCTGAACAAAGTGTTATTTCTGATACATTTATCTAGATCATCTTGGTCTTGCATGGCATTTACTAATATATTTACCAGGTGCTATTGCCTCACATCATTGCACTTCCCAAAAGGTCCCCAATAGTCCCTTGATCTGTCTGTGAAGTTTGCCCATCCCTCACATAACTCTACCTTAGCCATCTGAGAAGTCCATTTGTTCCTCAGAACATCTTCTGTAGCTGTTTTTTTCATCTTCTCACACTGTTGTTTGCCATCTTCAGCACTGTCTCATATGTCCAGTAGTTTCTCATGGGCTGTTGTTACCTAAACCTTGTCATCTCCCACTGTGTTTTAACAACAAATATCTGCTCAAGTGCTTTCCTAAATTATGCCTTGAACTCATATTTCTTCCAAGATTTGTGCATGTGTATCTTAAATTGCCCAGGTCCATTTGGCCTTCTTACTTACTTACTTAAACTGATTCATATGTATAAATACAAGATACTCAAACTGAAAAATAGTACTCAGTTGGTTTATTGATAAAAATTGTGTTCTTTACTTGGGATGCCAGGTCTGCCCTTGTGCTTCTCAGATGACAGGTGTAGTTTCCAGCCAGACTTCCATTTAGTAACAGTACAATAATTAAAAGGGTCTGGCTAAAGAAATCGCACAAATTAGAGCAGACAGCTGTTATTTGAAAAGAAAAAGCACTTTGTTTTTAATAGCCAGCTCTTGGACTGCTGCCAGAGATGCTTGTGTTAGATCTTCTGGATAAAATTTTTCCTTCGACCATTAAAAACCTAAGYAAAAAGAGGTCTCCTAGCAAAATAGTGATGGGAAACAGCCAGAAAAGGGAAGGTATATTCTTTAACTTTAGGATACCCTGAAGCTCCTCAGATTTAGTGTGGGTCTGGTGATGAAGTTACTCTGTCAAAGCAACGGGGGGATCAATGTAATGTACATCAAGAATTGGAAATGAATTCAGTGCTGGTACAGTCTAACTGAGAGGTTTTCTGTGGCCCTGGTAGAACAGCTAATGGTTGTGTGCAGCTGGGAACAAGGATCGTATCATTTTTCAGTCTTCTCTAACTTGAAGTGCCAAATAGACTTCCAGAAACATGAGCAGTTCATGAATATTCCACAGTCCTGGCCTGTGGTCCAGAAAAACTGGGATTCGCTTGTGCTTCTTCCACCTTGGAAGCTTGTTGACTTGTCTTTCTGATGCAAAGGCACTGTTGGGTCACTGATCCCCTTCAAGTACATCTTGAGCTTTGACAATACCAAAAAAAAAAAAGGTCACTAGCTCGTGGACTCATAAAGTTAACTAACAGTCATTGAACAAATCAAAGCAATGAGTGTGAGTATGAGATTAGATAKCAAAGAGCAAAAATAGAAATTGGGGAAATAAAATGCTTTCTTTCCAAAACCCTACTTGCAACCTTTTCCTTCCTCTTTCTTGCTGATTCACTTTTTCTCCTCCTTCCCCACTCATAGTTGTCATCTTGTCTCCTTTTCTAGGAAAACCTCTTTTTCGTAATGGAATACCTTAATGGAGGAGACCTCATGTTCCATATCCAGAGCTGTCATAAGTTTGACCTTCCCAGAGCAACGTAAGATGATATTATTGCTGTTTCGCTTGTAAGTCCCACGCATGGTAGAAGCAAAAGGGGAAGCTGGGGCAGTGGAGCTCTTAGTATTGTTTTTCCCCTTCTACCACTGTCCTGTGGGATTAACCTTCACTTCTTTGTGCCTTGCCCCATCAGCAAACTGGGGATAATGATTTTACCTTGAACTGGGCTTGGGTGTGAAAGCAGAACCACCACTCTGTAGGCCAGCAACCTCCAAAGTGAATTCTGCACAGTCTCTAGTAACTATAAAAAGCCCTGAGTGTGACTACCTACATGCCCCATGGATGAGTATCGTGTTAAAGAAACCTGTAGGTGTCTGCTGTGAACTACCTACAGGTAATTCACCCAGGGTTGCTCCAGGGCTGTACTGGCTGGGTTTTCACTCAGTCCAGAAGTGCAGGTCTCAAGCATGACATCATCACTCAGCCTCCTCCTCAGTTTTATTACCACCAAAGAAATCCCACGGCTGCATTCTCAGCCGTCTCTAGAACCACACAGCTTTTCACAGAATCACAGAATCACACAGAATGGTTTACGTGGCTTTTACTTTAGAACTCTATATAGCTCCTAGTTAAGCTGCTCAAATTGAGATTGCCAGCCCAGAGACCAAAGACAAAGCTATTGTTTGGTAGAGAAAAAAAAAAAAGAGTGTTTTCTCTTTGAGCTATGAGGAAAAAAAGAAAAAGAAAAAATGATAAAACCTTTCAGAAGTGCAAGAGGCAAATTTAAATAAAAAATTAATACACCAACAGGGGATTAAAAATTTATTTAGCTGTGATTAAAATAAATAGGCGAATTAGAATAAATTAAAATGTTTTTTTTTAAATCCTTCTGTGAGCAAAAGGTATTTTGAAAGTCAATATTTAAAYCACTGTAGGAATTAATTTTTATTTAATAATTAAAACTAAGCCTTTTCATTTAAATCACTGTTTAATGTGAAATTTTTAAAGCATTTTCATGTTTAGAATTAAGCCCTCAGGCCAATGCATTGAAGTCTAGGGGATCAGACTTTATAGTGCTAGTGGGGGATACGATCCTGTGGTTACCTTAGCTTTTGGGCAGAGCACGTTCATTGTYTCATGGTGCTTCAGCCCTATGCTGGTTCTTCACAACAGAACACACTTTTACCCCTCAAGCAGAAATGTCATGAAAACAAAGATCTAAAGCTCAGAAAAATTCTACACAAAGACCACCAAGCATCTAGCAACTCATTCACATCTTGGGTAAGGCTGCAAAAGCAAGTCATAAATATGGCCACCAAGGAGAACTGTCTGATGAGCCAGGGAGGTCTYCAATCCCAGTTGTCCACTTGCCTGTCCATAGCCAGGACCATTCTGTAGTTCATGCAGCAGCTACTGCGTGTGGCAAATCACAGCTGCTTTTTTGATGTGAGGCATTAACTGTAATTTGCAGTTTGAAATTGCTGTAATCACTGTAAATCATCACTGTAAACTATCACTGTAAATCATTAGTTTGCACACTCAATATGTGTGCAACTAAGCAAGAGGCACAGACACCACGATTTTGCCTTCCTTTCTACATGGACAATATCTAAGGTAGACAGAAATAGGAGGTGTGGTATTTTGCTTAAGAGCTGATCTGGGGACATCCTTGGGCACTTACAGACATATCCTCAGAGACCGTTTCATATCTAAAACACAGCTAATTGCATAGTTTYAAAGCCCTGAAGATGAGCAGGCTCTTCAATCCCAGCCATTTCCTAGAGTAGTTTCAGTGGGAGTTAGGCTGCTAGGTGTGTTGCATGCTTTTGAAAATCTCACATCATCCATCMMKKGATGGATGATGTGAGAGTTTCTATCATCCATCAATTATCTGATGGATCAATAGAAAAGAGTTACTGTAAGTCTTCAAAAGATTTGATGAGATTTAGGCTCCAGAATCTGTAACCAACTTTGACAAATGTTGTCCCAGCTCTTTAGACTCCTCAGGAGGACTGCTAGTTTCTTTCTTTTGAGGTCTAGCTGAAAAGACATGCTTGGAAGCATCTCTTYTAATTCGTGCTTTCTTCACTCAGGTTTTATGCTGCTGAAATCATATGTGGTCTGCAGTTCCTCCATTCCAAAGGGATAATATACAGGTAATTTTACTCTTCATGCCAAATATGCTGCAACTTTTCTGCTTTCTCTGCAAGTATTGATTGTACCTGACCAATTATTCCTTGGAGGTACTTGGTAGTATTCTGGTTCCAAGCAGATTTTGTCAAACCRTTTTATTTTGAAGAGATAGTATGGGGAAAGTGTGCTGCCATTCAGACCTGGTCAGGCTGGAGAGCTGGGCAGAGAGGAACCTCCTGAGGTTCAATAAGGACAAGTGCAGGGTCCTGCACYTGGGGAGGAATAACCCCAGGCCAACAGTACAGATTAGGGGTTGACCTGCTGGAGAGCAGCTCTGCAAAGAGGGACCTGGGAGTCTTGTTTGACACCAAGTTAACCATGAGTCAGCAGTGCCCTCGTGACCAAGAAGGCCAATGGGATCCTGGCTGGATCAGGAGGAGTGTTGCCAACAGGTCAAGGGAGGTGATTCTGTCCCTCTACTCAGCTCTGGTGAGGCCGCACCTGGAGTACTGTGTGCAGTTCTGGGCTCTCCAGTGTAAGAGGGWTGTGGAGGTTCTAGAGAGGGTCCAGCAGAGAGCAACCAAGATGATTAAGGGACTGTAGCATCTCTTGTATGAGGAAAGACGAAGTGAGCTGGGCATGTTTAGCCTGGAGAAGAGAARGTTGAGAGGGGATCTGATCAACATGTACAAATACCTGAAGGGTGAATATAGSGAGGAAGGGGCCAAACTCTTCTCAGTGGTGGCCAGTGATAGCACAAGGGGCAGTGGGTATAAGCTGAAACACAGGAACCATCTGTTCACAGGAACACAGATGGAACCATCTCCAGGTGAGGAGGAACTTCTTTCCTGTGAGGGTGAGCACTGGAACAGGCTGCCCAGGGAGACTGTGGGGTCTCCTTCTCTGGAGGCCTTCAAAACCCATCTGGATGCCACCCCTGGAGCAGGGGGGTTGGAGTAGATGATGTCTAGAGGTCCCTTCCAACCATAACCATTCTGTGATTCTGTGATATTAATCTGGGGGCAGATCTATGAGAGAATCCATAGGAAAGTTTGGGGATTCTGGTTAACCCATGTATTGGGATTCATCTCTCCTAACACCAGGAGTCTGAGGTAGTCACTCCAAGCTCTCTTTGTAGTAAGAAGAAAGAAATGGACTTCTAGGTGATGGTTYGTGAGAGCTGCTTTAGGATGAATCAGCTTGTGTCTGAGAAGTGCTACCAGCTAAATGAAGCCAGCAGGACCCCGGTTAGATGCTGGACAACACTACAGTAGAGTAGAGGATTCCCGTCCCAGAGTTCCGGKCATGAACGTAGTCCATAAGGACTCAATCCATCAAACTCTGCAGAGGAAAAATCCCCTCCTGTGGAACTGCCCATCCAGAACTAACACTTGACTTCCCTAGGAGCCTCACTTCATGGATGCTTTAATCTAATGCACAACAATTATGTTTCAGATCTGTCTAAAAGAAAAGAGAGAAGATGGGAGAACTAGGGGACGCATGTGTCAGATCATGGTCTATTTTCCCATGCATAAAAGCAATAACCRAGTTCTCTTCTAACTCTAAGAAGAGTTTCTAGTCCAACTCTTCTTAGGAAAGTTAGTTACTACATTACAGCCTTTTGTAAAATCCATGAGCAAATAGATTGTCAGAAGCAAATGAAAAAGCAAATGATAAAGCAGTAATGTTTACTGAAACTGAAATCAGTTTATTTCAATGTTTGTCACGTAGGATGAACATTAGAACAAATGCTGGAAGTGAATTGCTTGTTTACAATCTACTCTCACTTTAAAACTCAAGCTTTGATTTATATGAACTCTCCTTATTATTCATTATTAGTACTCATGTGGGAGCAGTTCATAGTCTTTATTGACCAATGATGGTGATTGCATAAACATGAGATCAATATCAATAGCATTAAGCTAAGATGAACTCTGGGTTCTCAATGAGTCTCCGGCTCTAATCATTGTACTGGATGACTAAAGGGAAAGATTTTTGGAAGGGCCCAAATCAGTTAACCATGTCTATTGTTTTTACTCAGAGTTCTTAGAAAAGCCATTTAAAAATGTATGTAGGATATTTTGAATACTTAACAGAACTGTTATCATAATTTTTTGGTTATAACTGACATTTTTATTTGAAACTGCTACTTCAGCGATGCGTAGGAGTTTGGATTCAGTTTCAAGGTGCTGCCCTGCAATGGTCTGTGCCAGAGTGTGTGTCCCATCAATATGACCCATTTCCTCATGAGAGGGAAGAGATCCTGGGAATATAGAGCCATAGCTTTTGCTAGGACATGTGGGCTAAAATGGGGCAGGTGGACGTTGGGTAACATGGTGATAAGAAGGAATAGCTCACTCCCAAGAGTCAGTATGGCTTTCATTTCTATATCAAACTTTAATAGAAATGATKTGGCCAGTGATACTCCTTTTCCCTTCTTTTCAATGCTGACAGTGATCACAACATCAGCTGAGAACTCAATCATAGTTAATTTACACATAGGAAATGGAGCAGAAATTATTTTAAAAACTACATTCCTTGTATTCCATGTGATATGGTAGCAGTCATGAGCCCAATTGTTCTGCCTCATACACCCGCATTTGGAAATGTTGGCTTAAATTTTAACAAATAACCCCAGAGTTTTTGGCAGGAACTAGTGTAGCTCCTGGAGCCCTTGAGTTTGAGATTCATCAAAATAATGAACTGTATATGATTTATTTTTGGTTTTCCTCAATATACCAAATGAATAAAGTCAGCACTGGCAGCCAGAGATTGATCTTCATGGTGTGACTGGAATAAGTTATTCCATCTGGAAAATGTAACAACATGAGTATCTGCAATTTGGAAAGCAAATAATGTGGTCCTCTCTATATATCTTCTGGTTACTGTTCTGTTAGGTCGATAACTACCACTTTTACTTTGGCTATACCAGAAGGGTAGCTAGATAAATGGTTTGGACTCTTGCCCAACATGTGGAAAATATGTGTTGGCTGTGAATCAGTGCGGTGTAGAGAAGACCATTGTTTCCTCTGTTGTGAGCACAAGAAAATGTTATGTCAAGGTGCTCTGGGAGCAGAAGCAGTGATTGATATCACAGGTTAGGCAGTGCAGAAGCGTGGGTGCTGAGACACAGGTACACAAGCTCTTCCCACATTTCATATGAGGTGGAACATAATTGATATAAACATCTCCTTGGGTCATTCTTTCAGTGAAAATAAAGATGTTTAGGTAAAATATAAACCATATAGCACAGAAACCATGCCAGCCTCCCTTTTTTCCACCTCTCTGTATTGCTTTACCTTTCTTTCAGAGATTGCTACCACGTGAGGAACTCTCTGTTCTCTGTCAGTGGCTGTGATTCATGAGCTGACTTTTGTTTCCTCCTGTACACATTTCTTTTTGTCTCCTTCTCTAGATTCTTTGCTTTYCTCAGCAGCTCTCAGAGCATACAACCTCTGACAACAACTTGACAGATACATACGAAGAACTTTGTAAATCCCCAGGGTTCAGATAGCACAGTGCAGGAATGAAAAGGGGATGKATGTTCTGCTGATGTCCAGGATTGATCTGACCTTCTGCAAGACACACAAGTCCTTTCTTGCTCCTGATTTTATTAGAGCAGAAGGATCATCCTGAACTGGGCACCTTTTATCTTCACTATTCAGCATTCGCCAAGGACACTGCTTTTAGCAGATATTTTGGGTGAAGTCTTCTCCAGCAAACAAGATTGTGCTGAGAAAGAAAGAGTGGGAAAGAGAGATACTGAAGTCCAACAGATAGCAGCTTCTGTTTTAGTCCTCAGCCTCCCTCTGTAACTAAAACACACAGACACTGTGCAGATGCAGAAAGCTAATTAAGGACTGCTAATTATGGACTGTGCTAAACTAACCTGTGTGACTATGTAGTATCTGAAAAGGAGGATGTTTTTTTCTGTCTTTTTCTTCCTCCACAGAGACTTGAAGCTAGATAACGTGCTCTTGGACAGTGAGGGGCACATCAAAATTGCCGACTTTGGGATGTGTAAGGAGAACATGTTTGGAGATGCAAAGACGAGCACTTTTTGCGGGACTCCTGACTATATTGCYCCTGAGGTAGGTGTGAGAAGTCAGCAAGCTTCTGTGACTGAGACAGAGGACACATGTAAAGAGATGTTTGTTGGTCAGYAGTGGTGGAGAGTGTACAGTGTAAGAATTTGTTTTTGAACAATTCTAGGCAGAATTTCCAACTGGATTTCATTTTGGCCGCTTCAGGGCCCACTTTGCTGTCTGTCTTTTCATGTTTATGTGGCTAATTCTCTTGTTGAGCACTTGGCCATGGCTCACAAGTAAGCTAAATACTTAATGGAAGTCCAGTTTGGGCCATGGAAGAAGCATCTCCAAGAGGTAGGTCCTGCAATTCAGAGACAGAAACAGTACAAGGAATGGGAAGCRTGTTACTTAGTAGGCCTCCATGTCTCAGTTACCTGTTTGGACTCCTTTATACCTGACGGGATGCTCTGGGACATCTTGCCTCATCCTCATTTAGAAAATAGGGACAGGTGGGACATGCCCACCTGGGGCTGATTCTCCTTCCTGAGTAAACACCTTTTAGATGGAGGTGGAGGCACGGCACATGGTAAGTCTGAAATGGGGCTTTGTCTTCCTTCTGGGATAGGCCCCAGTGCTTGAATAGGAACAGCAACAGCGAGCACAAGTTTTCTTCTCTCTCAGAAATATTCTTGTCTGGCTGCAAACACATTTGTCACGTCACAAAAGTCCTCCCAGAGYTCACTGTGTATTCTGAAAAGGTTCTGCCATCAGAGGCATAATCTTAAAATTAGGTACAATTTTAAAGGTCTATCTAAATAAAAAAATAGATCACAGCTACTTGTAGAAGGGATTTAGATGGTTGGAACAGGAGGATGTTCACACATCCTGATTGTTTYCTCTTTTGCATCTGTGTTGTTTCCTCAGCAACCAGAGAAGATGTATAGTAATACATGTATAGATGTATAGCAATCCGCGGGACAGCCAGTCCTGGACCTGCTAACTCTGGGCTCTGCATTACCCTGGGGTACCAATGTCTCTCCTTTGGCTGAGCAAAGTGCCAGAGCACCTGATGCTCATGCGTGAATCCCGCTCTGAAGGACATGTCTCCACAAGCCTCCAGATGAAGGAGGCTCTAAGTCTGGAGGCAGGATTATTGTTCCAGATTACACTTGAACTAATGAGGGCAAGGCAGAGTCCATAGCCTCTGTTAAGGTCCTGCTGTGCCCTCAGGACTCAGGATATTTGTGCTATGCATAAGGACCTGAGACTGGGGCTTGCTCGGAGATAGTCTACAAGACTCCATACAGGGTGCATGTACCAACCTGATCTTCTCCTTTCCCAGTTGATATATGTTGGTATTTGTTGTAGGAAAGCTGCRTATGGTTTTAGCGTGCCCCAAGCTGTAAAGCTGGGTAGTCACAGACACCAGTTTGTGCACAGCGGGATGCTTTGCCCTTCGCCTTCTTCCCTTACCATGTTCTACTGCACGGGGGCTTGATCTCATTTTCTTGCTGTAGTGCATGTAGAAATTTTGGAGTAGATCCCTCCAGAAAAGTACAAACTGCCTTTTTTTGGTGAAATAACACAATGACAAATCTCACTGTTGATAGTTTGACCAGTTAGGTGGCAAACTAGACCAAAGAAAACCCAGGCTCAGAGAACGTAGAAGTCCTCTATACATCATGTTGAACATCACTCCAAACTATTTATTTACCTTTCTAGATTCTATTCCCYGATTTTAGTCTTTTCACAATGGATATCACTGTTTACCAGATAGCTTTTAAAGCTTTTGCTATTTTCTTCTCCACTGTAATTCATTGATCTTTTACTGGACTCCAAGGGCTCAATTCAGATCTAGGTTACACCACTATTGACACTACGACAGTTTTCATCAACTGTTGGATTTCTATTGCTTAAAAGCATGTTCTGCAATCAAACTGCAACTGGTTTTTATTCCAATTATAATTCCAATTTTCTACTTTAATGTTCTTTTATTTAAAAAGAAAAACAACACTTTTTTTCMTCATCCTAAAACAGAGCCAACTGATAATCCACTTTACAACATAGAAGAGAAAGAGCTTAAAATATCTGTGATGTTCTATTTCTATACCATCACTTATTTAAGAGATTCAATGAGTAGTTATAAAACATTTTGCCTCCAAATTGAAAACTCTGCTAGAGATTATGGATCATCCCTCCTGTTAAAGGTGGAAGCACAGGACTTTTTTAGTATTTCAGTGCATCTGCTAGCACTGTACTTTGTTACAGGTGCTGCATGTTGGCTACTGCCACACAAATAAGGGGACTTGGATCAATAGACAAGCAATTTTAGAATTTCAAAAAAATGTATTTGACAAAAAAAAATGTTAACCTGAAATAAAATTTCTGGATTTTTTTTTCCAGAGAAATGAAGAACTAATATATATTTYCCTAAGCTGTCATAAACCATTCAATTTTGTTTTCTACACATTTTATACTTAAAAAATAAGGCCTTATAAAAAAGTRTGCCTTTTTAGAAGGAGAGGTTGGCATGATCTTGTTTATGAGCAGAACAGAGGAAAAATACTAGAGAGTTGGTGTTTCCTGTCCCCTCTCTCCTCCTCCCACATGTGAATAATATTGCTTGTTTTGCCCCTTGTATTCAAATAACTCAAAAGTTATTGAGTTATATATATATAGGAGAATACTCTTATATCCAAATRACTTTTGTCCTACGCAAGAGTAGGATCTGTCTTACCTGTCTCATTTTGGAGACAGATCTGTTATTCATGTCTACATGAGCTTGTCCTTAGACATCTGTGATTAAGACCCTGTTTTAATAAATGCCACATGTATACTAGAGGTATAAATGATATATCTAAAAATGAAGCACCAGATGAAATCTTACAGTCTTATAGGAAGCGAAAAATCTTTGGAAGACAAGTTATCTCATCCTATTTAATGGGGTAAATGGCTTTTCTTTCCCCATTAACTATATGGAGACCCTGGACAACAAGTTAAATAGACACATCACTTAAAGATAAGAGAAATGAACYTGGGCCCAGGTGGCAGTCCCAAGGCGTTTATAGGTAAAGCAGAAAATGTATGAAGMAAAACAGTCAAGAAACAGCATATGAGATGATATTGAGAGGATAGAGCAGCATTCATTTTCTCCTGTTTTTCCTGGGACAGATTTTGTTGGGATAGAAGAACAGCATTTCCATTGACTGACATTCCCAATGCACCCTCACACTGACAAATCTTTGGTTTTGAAATACATTCTTTTTTTTTTAGCTAATTCAGTCCCCAAAGGCTACCTAGGCATCTGACTTCTCTTTCAACAGTGCAGTTCACAAGCCGGATGTGAACCATTGGTATAACTTAGACAAGCAGCAAAAGAAGACTTRCTTCACTTCTGTGATAGCCAAGGGTTTGTTAAATTAACTTAAAAGTAACCAACAAAATATACTTAGGTCTATTTTGACACTGGACCACAACATCTACATCATTGATTGTGTACAAGACCCGCACTGCAGTGATACTCTTAACTCACCATTCAGGCCGGGAAAAGCACTTTGCTCTCCATACAAAGCAGCTGTTGGAGGAGCCTGTGCTCCTTTCTGAAGTGGAAATACTCATGTCRTACATTTTGTGTCTTTGTTACTCCTTTCTTTGTGCAGATTTTGCTGGGGCAGAAGTACAATTCCTCCGTTGACTGGTGGTCCTTTGGTGTCCTCCTGTATGAGATGCTTATTGGCCAATCTCCGTTCCACGGTCAAGATGAAGAGGAGCTTTTCCAGTCTATCCGCATGGATAGCCCATTTTACCCTCGCTGGCTTGAAAAGGATGCAAAGGACATTCTAGTGAAGGTAAGAATTATCAAATATCCAACATGATTTTTACCAGAATGGTCATCTTCATCTGTTCAGAGAAACAGGTCAAGCATGATAGGACCAAAGTGAGTCACTTTCCTGTATGTGGCTCTCAAACGAGAGATGAAGGTTCAGAGATCACTATGAAAAGATAATAATGAAAGCATTTCCTCCATGAACAGCTACCAGAGCAAGCTGAGATTTGAGGTATCTGTTTATGGGACATACATTGCCATTGTTCAGCACAAACAACTAGTGTGTCTGCTGGTCAGAATTAGAAATGGTAATAATCTTTATACCGTTCACTTAGCTTCTCTATTTAGGGAAAAAAAATTCTCCATTATAGGATATTCTCATTGTCATTGACCCTTTAGAATTAAATATTCAGTCTTGCTAAAGTTTACCAAAATTCAATACCTGTTTCTTTTCAAATAGGCCTTCAACTGTGTATATATCAGCTTTATTTGAAGCTACTTTGGGCGTTAGATATCTATATTTGTTCTTTCTTGGGTGATAATTACTGTTTGTTTTCTCATGCCCAAGTGGCATAGCAGAAAACTCTTAGCATGCATAACACAGGGGATTTTAGGATGACTTAGCTTTTGAAAATGTTCCCTTGATTCTGAAATAGGATATACTGGCTGTATTCAGGCCACAACCTATCAGGTGTTGCAACCATTCATCTCCACTGACCTTATAAAAAGCTAGGACCTGACACTCTCCAGGCCAGCTAGTCCAGAAGTCCCAGGCATCATATTGCAGATCTAAAGATAGACCTTTCACTATTCATACGCACCATTACAACAATATTTGAACGCTGTGTCCTGCTCACAAACGTATACAAGTACTTCAGAAGCATTTAGCACTCCTGAAATCTTCACCAAAAACTATTGAGCTGTTTCTGGAGCCAAATAGCTCCAGCATCACCATGAAAGTATCTAGCTATACAAAGATGAAAAGTGAGCTCAGACCTGCACTTAGCTGATGATGACATATACTTAGCTGATGATGACATATACCTCCAATTCTAATTGTTTCATATCTTCACCATGATTATTCCTCCATGGGGCTTGTAGTCTGCAGCAAACACAAACGATCTGAATTGGGGATCTTTTGACAATGTATACGGGTGTCCACATCTGAGCTAGTCAGTGGAGAAGCAAACACTTCCAAGAAGTCTTTAATCTCATTCATTTGACATGTCTCGAAAGACGTCAAATAGTTTTCTCCTTTAACTATAAAGGAAGTTGTAGGTCAAGCACAAAACAGTGACATCTAAAGGTAAAGGAAATTAATCCAAGTAGAGATAGGCCAGATTAATATTTCCACACATGATGTTCATGTTTTAGCTATTAATTTTGCTTTCGTGCAAAAAGGTACCTGCAGCTTCAAAAGCTTGCAGATGCAGAACAGAGATTTCACATATGTAGTTGCCATTTGCATATGCAGACACACATGCAGAAGGTTCAGCTTGGCTGCAAAAATAGCAAATTTGTCCTTCTGCTCTTGTAAAAGAAAGATATGGCTGAGATCTCTCAACTTTGACATGTTGGGCTAAGAATCTAAACTGGTTCCCCAACCACTAATTCAACAAGCAAAAGAGTCTTCACACTTGTGTCAACCTKGCTTGAATCTGAAGTCTGAGAGCCCATCTGGTAGAACTGTCCAATCAATACAGTGTTACAAATAAAAGARGAAAGTAATTTTCTTTCTTCAAAATCCTAGCTTTTTGTGAGAGAACCTGAGAGGAGACTTGGAGCGAAAGGGAACATCCGCCAGCATGCCTTTTTCCAGGAAATAAACTGGGAAGCTTTGGAAGAAAGAAAGATGGAGCCTCCTTTCAAGCCTAGAGTGGTAAATATACAACTATTCTGATTTTCACACAATGATGCCTTTCCTTCCGCAATCATTCATTCCCAAATGTCCATACTTTCCAATGGGTGCTAGCAGTAAACTAAAGCAGAGCCTACAGTAATATTTTAAATTCCTTTATATAGAGAAATTGTCCAAATTCMAGAAATAGTTCCTTAGAGACCTCCAGAACTATTTGGACTCATGCAATTCTGGAGCTTCTTGAGAAAGTCCAGCACAGGGCTACAAGGATAATCAGGGGGCCTTTCTGCATAAGGAAAGGCTGCGAGAGCTGGATCTGTTCAGCCTGAAGTAGAGAAGGCTGAGGGGGGATCTGATAAGTGTATACAAATACCTTAAGGGAGGGAGTGAGGAGGATGGGGCCAGCCTCTTTTCACTGGTGACCACTGAGGAAACTAGAGGAAATGGCCACAAACTGAAGCTCCAAAAGTTCCACAGGAACGTAAGGAAAAAWTTCTTAGCAGTGAGGGTGACAGAGCCCTGGAACAGGCTGCCCAGAGAGGTAGAGTCTCCTTCTCTGGAGATCTTCAAACCCACTTGGACCCAGCCTGTGCCACGTGCTGTAGGTGATCCTGCATGTGCAAATGGGGGTTCGACTAGACAACCTCTGGAGGTCCCTTCCAACCATAAGGATTCTATGATAGTGTTTTAAAGGTGGTTAAATGTCTGTATTTACACTGAAAACAGTTTAAGACTCAAGTTAAGTTTTTCAAAGTGTCCTTTGAAAATGAAATTTGTCAGCGTGTCTCCTTAGCTGTGCTCCTGCAGCCCTGATTAGTCATATATGCACCTAAGTCCATAGGAAACTGCCTATGGTGCCCCGTACCATTTTAATGGAGACTTGGATAATAGTGATTTAATTCTTCTTTTTCTCTGTTTCCTCTCTTGAAGAAATCTCCGAGTGACTGTAGCAATTTTGACAAGGAATTTCTAAATGAAAAACCCAGACTCTCCTGTGCTGACAGAACACTGATTAACAGCATGGACCAAAATATGTTCAGCAACTTTTCTTTCGTGAACCCTAAAATGGAGAAGATATTTTCCTGAGATCTGCCTTACCCAGGGCTTTCCTTACTAAAGGAATTCTCTGTAATGGCTTGAGTAACACTGTCAACTGATGACTGTACATGGTGGATTTTACCAAGGACTCACTAGAAAAACACATCAGTCAAAGCTTGCACCATGCCTGGAGCTTTTCAYCTTGTTCCAGTCTGTAGCAGATGCCAGCCACTGTTCGCCAACGACAAAGCCTCTTCATGTATCTTTGGTCTCTCTTCTCTCTTTTATGGGTGTTTTGGCGATTGAGAACATTCAAAAAGGAGGAGATGCACAGCTAGTGGGTCTCCCTGTCAGTCAAACTAAACATATTCCAACTTCCAGGAATGTTGTTGGTGCTTAGTCTTGCAATTCCCACCACTTTCTACAAGATGAGAGATGAGCTGAAGGCCTGAAGRTATCTGGGTATATTTCACATTGTCCTGGAAACTGCCACTTGCGCATGAGCGGAATGGTTCAGAGTAAAAGATGGATTCAGCTTTCTGTAATTTTATCTTAAAACTGCATCAGAAATGAGGACGAGATTTCCGTAAATCATTGTTCATGATTGACCTTCATCATACAATTGGCCTTCCTTCATTTCACTAGCTTGTTTTACTTGGAAGGAAGTAAATCAGTCCTTCCAACAGCTGATAGACTTTGTATTGCTCTAAATGATGTACCAACTCTTTGGCATGCAACACAGACAAGTCAACAAGTGGCACCCAGCARCCAGAGGGCAGGACAGCACACTGGGTGATCTTAGCCCTCTCCTTCCACCTCATGATGTTTTGTTCTCCTTGTGATCTGTGGAAATACGGATCGCCAAACAAATAAAAAACCGTAGTTGTGGTCCTTTCATAGTGATAGCCTCTTAAATAAAGATGCACTGAGGCTGGAGAGATCTGGAAACACCCAGTTACTGCTTGTCACTGACAGTCCGGTTAAGTATTGGGTCAAAACCCAACCCTYTAGAAAGTCCAAATCAAAGGATTCTGTAATAATTCAGACTTGGGCGGTCTCTCTGATGTTAGACTCTAGCCCAAGAGTCCTAATTTAGAGCTTTGTTGCATGAATTCCTTCAGTCTTTGGAGAAGAGAAGCTCTAAAGGATGACCCATCATGAATCCAGAAAGCCTTTGAAGGTGCCTTTCTGGATTCCATGGGCTGCACAGGGAGCTTGTTAACTTGGACTTCCTCATGGGACGAATCCTGCCTTGCAGGCTGTGAAATCCCTGCCTGGATGTTGCTGTCAGTGGCCGTAGGCACCAAATCCTACAGGGTCAAGAGCAGAATTGCCTAAAATCAACAAGAAAAAAATGAATGCCCTTAAAAAAAGATTTCCCCAGCAGAGTTAGCCCAGAGATTTTTTGTGAAATCACTCTTTGTGCAGTAGGAAATACAGGAGGGATTTGTGCTTACAGTTTGTGCAGCTGGTCATCATGTTTAATTAGAAGAGTTAATGTGAATTTTTGAAATGTCAGTGCTGTTTGTACAGTTTAATAAAATGTGTACAATTGGAAAACAAGCATCAAAGTGATTAACAGGGGACAAAGATCAAAGGTGCTAGGAAAAGCGGTTAAAACTACAATGTGCTTTTCTGGGGATGTTCCCCAAGGGAATTTAACTGCAGAAATAGAAAAGATCATCAACTGTATCTATTCTGTGACTGCAAGAGCAATTTAAATGCCAAATGCTATACACATTTTTCCACAAAATGTTTCATGGGGCCAAGCTGTCCATGGATTTGACTGTGTTTACTAAAATCTGTGGATCTCTGTAGTTTTCATCGATGACAGGTTAGTATCTAAAGGAGKATTTGACACCTGCAAAGGTGTCCAAGAAGAGAACTAAATGTTCCTTTTCCCTCTCAGAAATAATTTTAACAAGCAGTCTTCCATCTCCAGGTGGTTGCAGAGCCAGATGGGGGGAAATGACCAGTSACAGATAAATGACAATTTGGGCCATCTTCCTTCAACACCTAATAAAGGATTATTCAGCCAACTCCTGAAACAGTTGTGTCCACAGACTACAGAAGAAGCCTGGGTAGCCTTATCCGGACCAGAGATAGCATTTCTAGGCATCTGGAGTCAGCTGAGAGGTGTCTTACCCCCATGTCTCAGTGCTAGTGAGAACAGCTTGTGCGGGTGCACACGTTGGAGTAACTACAAAAGCAGATACGGCACTGAGCTTATTGTATTGCATTTGATGCAAACCACAGGAGGAGGTGCCTGTTTCCCCCTGCAAGGTGTCATCAGCTAGAAGAACAGAGGAACCCACTGACGACGGGGGGAGGAGTGGGCAGGAGCCACTGCGAGCGCGCGTGAAAACCCTCTGAACTGGGTCTGCGGTGCTATGAGAATGACGTGGTAAGCAGCAAGCGTTTTCCTGTGGTGAAAGCGATTTGGAGAGATAGGAGCCAATGAGGGCTGAAAGTCAAACACCCTCACGGAAATGAGCAGGAACCCAGATACTCACAGAAATGTTCGTTGCCTTGGCTAAACCTGGCACCTTCATAATTTCTTTCTTTCTTTCTTTCTTTCTTTCTTTCTTTCTTTCTTTCTTTCTTTCTTTCTTTCTTTCTTTCTTTCTTTCTTTCTTTCTTTCTTTCTTT